GCTGCAGCCTGGAGCGAGGCAGTCACCGAATTATGGGAGTTTGAATTCCGAATACAAGCTTTCTACAATATCACCGTTACGTTACATCTCACGAATTGGCCACGATTGGCCCTTCAGTCGACTCAATACCCCATGTACATGCTTTCTTGTTCAATTGTAATGGCGCACATCGCTTTCCTGCAGGGATAAATGAAATGGGGGGTACTTCGGTGCCGGGGGTCTGTTTCTTCGGGTTACGCAATCAATACCTCCCCGTTCTTTGGGATCCAACCGATCAAGGCACACAATTCATCGCAGTTCTTGTTTCTCCATAATGCTTAATACTCACTTCATTATTACGACATATTGAGTGCCCTAACGCGACTTGAAGGTCTTGGCCGCGGCCACGTTTTTCTTGGACGTCGTCATTTCATAGATTATCTGTACAACAGTGAATAATGGCGTTGGGTTGATGTCGAGTTCAGGTTGGCTTCATGTTTTTCCGCTTTTCCCCTGGCATTTTTCCTGCTTGTCGCAGCATGCGGGACACGGATCGCGATCACTTATTTGACTTTGTAACAAACCCACGCAGGGAATACAATGTGAGCATGTTTTATGGGGGCTCAGGTACTGCCTTTTGTGGTGAGACATCAGGCGCATTGTCGCTGTGTCAAATCCTCTGGTCGAGATTGAACGGCAAAGTCTAATAAATCTCCGGAAAGTGGCAAACTACCTCCAATGGAGATGTTCGAGTGTGCCGTACCAACATCACATCGTACACAAATTCTGGTCTGGATATCTTTTCCGCTTCCTTGCTTCTTTTTCCTTGTCGCAATGCTTTGCTCTGCTTGACCGCACTTGTCATCGGTAGGCGCAGCGATGACAGCACAAGCCCACTGCTCAGGATAGCAAGTTTAGCGACACTCCATCTTGCCTATGAGGACGAAAAACCACCGTGGCATCGAAGCTGGACTGGTCGATGGAGGTCTAGACATTGCCTCTTTTAAGTCTCTTTCTAGTCATGATGACATGAGGTTTCTGCGGCGGTTGCCCTAAGCGGGAGGGAACAATGCACCTGCCGTCCCCGACGTTACAATGGCTTCCACGCCAAAGACAGTGCGCACGATGCAATAATGTTACCTGATCGAAGGAAGATCGGCGCAGCTGTTCGTTGTGTCATTGAGCTACCTATCGACTGTGCTTCGATTGCATGACGTCAACTGATTTGCTCTCAGCCTGTGTACTCCTACCCTAGGGATGCGGGCAGACCTCGATCCACCCGCAAGGGGCTGCAACCAGCACCACGAGCTGGTAAGTTTAGCTGTCTCAAACTCTACTATGGGCTTTTACTACCATAGACGGCGTGTCTAACCTCGGGACAGATTGGGGTTGGTTGAAGCACTGGTGATTTGGAGAGATACATTTGTGTACTGGACAAAAGAAAAACACCCCCTTCAGCTCGGATGGACGTGTTATGACAGGTCCTTGTCGTCAATTGTCGTCAGCTTGAACGTCATAACGACCACGTCGCTTGGATACCAGCAGCAGAAAACCTGAATTGAAGCGACAGCAGAGGCAGAGCTGCACTGGGGGGGTTTGGGAAGGGTCCGGTAGGGCGGATGCAGCAGAGACGCATATTTCCCTTCCGTTTTCGGCGCTGCCGTTCCATCGCCCCGCAAACACACGCTTCTGTCTCATCCACAGACCTTTTTGACGGATGCCAAATGCTTGCAGACCCAAGTCTTGCTGGGCGGGCTAAGCAGGTTAAGGTTAACCGGGCAATCTGCCGGGTGTGCGTACCTGTCGACTATGCCAGGTCCAGCAGTCCTTGAACTTTTCCCCCGACGAATCAAGGGGAGGGGAGGGAGGCACACATTCCACGGAAAGTCAACCAAACCCCCACACTGGCCTCTGAGGTTGCAATGCCTTTTCTGCGCAGCTGGACTCTTGCTGCGATGCATTTCCGTTGCATGAAAGCGCCGAGTCTCGAGACGGCCGTCCGAGTCTGCTTTGCTGCTCGCTTTCTACGGTATCATCGCACATACAATGGCTCCCCCTCCCCCTCCCCCCAGGCGCAAAGAGCGATGGATGACGGCATAGTTATGAAGAGGTGTGCCCTATGCAGCCGCTTGCACGTCATGATGGAGATGGATCTAGAATCACAACTGCCAGTGCTGGTATATGTAGAAGGGGCTACCGGCGCTTTCCCGGTTTGAGCACTGGTCTTTAATCTGAGGCCTTTCGCTTGTTTCCTGGCGAAAGTGCGCATACGCTCTCCAATCTCTGCTCCCCTCTCCAGCACACACAACCCACCCACCCACCCACCCCACGCACATCTAAGAACACTTCAAATCTTTCAACACGGCGGCCTTTACTGCTACAGCAAAATGGGGGTAGACTACCATGACCCGGACCACCCGCGGCTTCGAAATGTTCATCCCCCAATGAAAGTCTCCTTGGCGACTCCGATCTTCATTTTCGCCGGTGGAGTGTTCGTGCTCTTCGTCAGCAACCTGTACACACAGTTACAACATCGACGCCGGTTACGTCGGATACTCGAGAGCGAAGACGACGACCAGGACCGATATGCGCGGAGCAATGCGCTGTCCGCCGCGCTCAACAAACATGTCTTCTATGCGCCGCTGCTGTCGACGCGGCATAGTCGCGAGTTCCGGGTGGGGCGCTGCCACATGGGGATCATCCCACTGCGACTGGAGGCGATTCTTTTGACCGTGTATATTGCGCTGAACGTGGGGTTCTTCTTCGCGACGGTGGACTGGTGGGCCGAGTGGGAGGAGGTGATGTACCAGCTTCAGTATACGAGTGGCACGCTGGCGGTGTTAAATCTGCCCGGGTTGATCCTCGCGGCGGGTCGCAACAACCCGCTGATCCCGCTGCTGGGGATCAAGTTTGATACGTTCAATCTGATTCATCGTTGGGCCGGGCGCTTGGTTGTTGCGGCCTCGATTGTGCATGTCGTCTTGGCGATTATCCCTCGGCAGAAGGAGTGTAAGTCATATTTCTATCTCTGATAAGGACATGAACACACGCTGACTATCAGTCTATAGTGGGTAGTTTGTCTGCTGTGACACAGGTTGTCTGGCACACACCGTTTTTCGTCTATGGTATGACGGTAGGTAGGCCTTGCACTTTGTTGTGGAGAGGAGATTGCTGACATGTGCAAGGCTTTTATCGCATTTGCGGCTATCCTTGTGCAATCCATCTCGCCTCTCCGACATGCCTTCTACGAAGCGTTCCTGCATTTGCATATCCTGCTGGCCATTGCGTCCATGGTGGGGCTTTGGTACCATCTGCGTGGCATGTCGCAGCAAACGGCGCTGTTGGTCACGTTGATTCTCTGGGGTTTTGATGTAAGCCATCCTCTTCGCACTGAAGTGCTCCAACTGTTCTCCAAGAACTATTCCAGCTAACACTGCTGTGTCTAGCGAGCCACCCGCCTGGGCATCATCCTCTGGCGCAACGTCGGCAAGCAACGCACGACGGCCACCGTGGAGCTTCTGCCGGGCGACGTCGCCCGCGTGGACGTCGCGCTCGCCCGCCCCTGGACCTTCAAGGCGGGGCAGTACATGTACCTGTACCTGCCCTCGCTGGGGCTGTGGACCTCGCACCCCTTCTCCGTGGCCTGGACCTCCTCGGACCGCAGCATTCTGCCGACCGAGAAGCGGAGCTCCAACGACTCGATCAACCGGCTACTCGGCGGGCCGCAGCAGACGACCATGTCGTTCCTGATCAAGCGCCGCGACGGGTTCACGGGGAAGCTGCTGTCGAAAGTGCACAAGTCCTGCGACGGGAGCTTCGAAGCGACCGCGCTGGCGGAGGGGCCGTTCGGTACATTCACCTTCACCTTCTCATCCTACAGTGTCATCGGCGTGATTCATACTTACTGTGTATAGGCGGCCTCCACTCCCTAGCCTCATACGGCACCGTCCTCCTGATCGCCGGCGGCATCGGCATCACCCACCCGATGTCGTACCTCCACGAATTCGTAACCAACATCACCTCGCAGACCCAGGCGGTCCGCCGCGTCACCTTGGTCTGGGTAGTGAGGAGTTTAGGTGCGTGCCCTTCTTTTACCCTTCCCTTCATTCCCTCCTCCCCTTCTCTCCATCCAACTAACAAGAAAAAAAAAAAGACCACCTTTCCTGGATCCAACCCTGGATGACCTCCCTCCTCAACCACCCCGCCTTGCAAATGGCCACCCTCCGCAAACGCGAATCCTACTTCCAGTTCCCCGAGTTCTTCCTGGGCATCCAAATCTACGTGAGCAAAATCGCCGCCTCGGCGGGGAGTATCGGCAGCACGTCCAGTAGCGGCAGCGAGGCCAGCCCCACGCGCTCCGACACCAGCAGCCCCGAGGACTTTTTGGTGGAATGCTCCCCCTGGGCGAGCGTGGCCCCGTCCTCGGTCCCCGTCGCCATCCACACGGGTAAACCCTGCTTCGACGAGATACTGCGGGCGGAGATGGCGCGCCAGGTGGGTGCCATGGCGGTGAGTATCTGTGGGCCCGGGGCGATGGGGGATGATGTGAGGCGGACGGTGAGGGAGTGTCACGGTGCTGGTGATGGGGGTGGGGCTGGGTTGAGGGTGGATCTGTATGAGGAGAGTTTTTCGTGGTGATATCTGGGTTATTCTTGGGGGGAGTGGAGTGGTGATTGCGTGACAAGAGGGAAGGCGCAGAGAGGAAGAAAAGGGTGGCGTTCTTGGTTAGCGAGGGTTTTATTATTCTGAATGTATTTATTGTCTCCGGTTATGGGGTTTGGGGATCCGGATTTTGGGAGCTGAATTGGGTTATTGGGGTCGAGGAGGGATAGATAATAGATTCTTTTCTTGGGTTCGTTCTATACTCTCTTGTCTGGTTGTATGCTGTAGTTATGGGTGGTTTGGGGGGTGCAGGGTGTTGTTTCAACTCTGCCGTAAATTGTGTAGTAAGTGTATGAAACTGTAGCTGACATGATGAACCTCAGAAAAAGTATAGATCCTTCGCTCAGATCTCGTTCAGTGTTTCGTTTTTCACTATGATATCAACACCGGAGGTAACTATGTCATGCAATGCTCTACTCCACACTCGTATATTATATAGGCCACCTGCGCCACCTGCATAACTTAAATTCCCGGCGCAGTGCTGTCTCTTTATCTTTATATCTAAGCGACGATCGCGTCTTCCCTGGCCATATGTATACCGTGACGCAAGCGCTTAAACCCCGATTTCAACCGGTGCCCCCTCTACGGGCACCGCGATCATCAGCGCCAGCACCGCCCGCGCCACCTCCGCCGCCGCCAGCGTCGTCGTCTCGCCCGCCGAGTCATAGATGGGCGCCACCTCCACCACGTCCGCGCCGATCACGGGCAACCCGCGCAGCCCGTCCAGGATGGAGAGGAGCTCGCGGGTCGAGAAGCCGCCTGGTTCGGAGGTGCCGGTTGCTGTCGATCCCAAGAAAAATCAGTATTAGACTTTAACCAGGTTTTATATTTTACCCTTCTTTTTTCCTTGGGGGCCTTGCTTTACTGGACGGAAGAGAGGTGGAAGGAAGGAAGCGTAGTGGGGTGGTACGCACCAGGCGCAAACGCCGGATCCAGCACGTCGATGTCGACGGAGATGTACACGCGGCTGTCCCCGACGCGGGCCTTGATCTGCTCGATCACCCCGCTCACGCCCCGGCGGTCGAGGTCGCGCGCCTTGATCATCTCGAAGCCGCAGCGGAGGTCGTTGCGGAGGTCGGCGCCGCGCGGGCGGGTGACGGGCGCGCGGATGCCGACGTGGATTGAGGTGTTGCGGATTAGACCCTTGTCTTTGTTAGTTGGTTCTTGAGTGAGGGGGGAGAAAGTGATGGGGGAGGTGAATGGGGATTACCTCTTCGTGCGCGAGATGGAGGAAGGTCCCGTGGTTGACGCCTCTAGGTTCCGGTTAGGGGGTTGGGTGTGTCGGGGAAGGGGCACGGGTACGAACGCGTAGTGAGAGATTCCTCCGCCTGGGTTTATTGGAGTTAGTTCTTGCTGGGTTGTGTTGACAGAGCTAGGGGGGGGAGGGGAGGATGTACCTAGTGCTTCCGGGTCCCATGTATCTAGATTCCGTACCTTGATGTTAGCTTGCTCCATTTTTTATGTGTTTTGCTTTATCATTGGTGCTCTAGGATAGGCATACCGATATGACTATCAAAATGGATCACCGACACCGGCCCCCATTTCTCGTACGTGGACCGCAGCGCTGACAGCGTCGTGGTATGGTCCCCGCCCAGCGTGATGATGCGCGGCACTTGGCCTTTGGTCGTCGTGTTGGTGCCGCGCGAGGAGACGACCTACCACATCATTTGATCAGTCCACTTTCATCTTTGTTGCTTTGACGGGATCAGTGGAAGGGAACCTTATGCGCCAGATCCAACTGCTTCAGCGCCACCGTATTGTCCAACCACGTCAACGGCGCATCCCCGCAGTCCACCAGTTTCGCCCAGCTGGCGAACACGTTCTCCCCCGTGTAGATGTCGTAGCCGCCCAGGCGGCGCGAGCCCAGCCGGATGCCCTGGGGACCGTAGCGGGCGCCGGGGCGGCCTGTCACTGCCTGGTTTTGTGAGTTGGTGGGCAATGAGAGGAGACGCCGAGGAGGGGGGACGAACGGTGTCGAACGGTGCGCCGAGGAAGGCGATATCGTATGTTAGTGACCCATCTTCGACGAAGCAGTTCGCGTACGGGAGGTTGGCGAAGGTGGTGAGTCCGGAGAATTGGCTACCTGTCACAATGTCGATTTTGTTGATGTCGATGTCACTCTGGAAGGCGTATTGGATGGAGGGGTGGTTGTGGACGGCGGCAATGGGCGGGAAGATGATTTCTCGGGCTGCTGCTGCTGTTGCTGTTGCTGTTGCTGAGACGAGGAGGGAGGAGGTCAGGTGCATTGTGACGGTGGAATTGAGGGTGAATTGAAGTCGGGAGTGTAGCTGGATGGACAGTTGAAGCGATAGTTATAGTTCTAGTTATAGTTCTAGATCACAACGGTGGTTATCGCGATAAGCCATGCCGTCCGAGGGGGTCCGTGGAAGGACTTGCCTAACACGGCAAGTGGGCGTGGGCTCAGCTCCTCCTCAGGCTCGGCACTCCAAAAATCCCCACTTGGGATTTTCTTTTCCCCTCACTCACCTCTGCTGCAGCGTCATCGCTGTACATTCATTCACAGTCAATTTGACCAAAACACACTCCACCAGCATAACGGTCGTGCAGTTCCAGACCCTCACCATGGTTTCGATCCCGCCTTTCCCTACGCCTTGCGCAACCTTAAGCATAATCTAACAGCCCTCAAGCCTCACGCAGACTCCTCCTTCTTCGGCCCCAACGCCTCCAAAGACGAGGTCTACACGCAGGTTCTCGAACAGGCCCGCGGCCTAGTCTACGACCAGCGCAACTGGGTACTGCCTCCCCCTTTCCCTATTGAATTGAGACCTCACTAACCATACAACCTATCAACAGGTCAGGTACCTCCACCTCCACCCCACCCTCCCGCAAGGAAGATACTGAAAGAAACAGCAACTTCTCCAACGTCGCCTCCCTCCTCTGGCACTCCTACGCCGCCCTCCCCACCCCTTCGTCGTCGGTCAACTGGGCCGGCTTCTACATCCGCAGCGACAAGTTCCCGGCCTTGTCCAAGGATACCACCACCGCCGCCGCCGGTGCGACCACCGTGCAACCCAAACTCCTCCTCGGCCCCTTCCAGGGCCGCCCCGCGTGCCAGGAGATCCGCTTCGGGAAGGGGGTCTGCGGCACCGCGGCGCAGGACCGCGCCACCGTCGTCGTGCCGGACGTGCTGGAGTTCCCGGGCCATATCGCCTGCGACGCGAGCAGTCGGAGTGAGATTGTCGTGCCGATTCTTGTGGGTGGGGAGGTAAGATTCTCTCTGGTTCTGGGGGTGGGGGTTGAATTTAGAGTCGAGGGTGGGAACTTGGGCTAACCGGGATTTGTTGGTAGACGGTCGCGATTATTGATGTCGATTGCACGGAGCCTTCGGGTTTTGATGAGACAGACAAGAAATATCTGGAGGAGTTGGCGGGGTTGTTGGCTGAGTGCTGTGATTGGTGATTTACCGTGAGGTCCGTCTGGCTCTGGGGTTAGGTTGAGGATCGGGGGTGTAGAGTATATGATCGGATGGGTTGAGAGCTGGTTATAGAGCTTCTGAGTATATATGCAGGGTCTTAGATGTTGTCAGCAAAGGGGGCATTCCCAGTCATGGGGACTCTGTCAAAGTCTATGCATTCATCAATCTCTGCCCGTCCTCCGGGACAAGCAAAGAAATTAATCCCAAGTCTATAATATATATATGCTATATCAATCAGACCACATTCGCTCTGGCACCGATAGAAATAAACCCCGAGAAGGAATTGGTCCGTGTGTATCCCGTTGTCTGACCAAAATATAACCAACGCCCAATAACCAAGAAACTCAAATGTCACCGTTCTCTGCCGGTGGGGCTCCTTGAGAGGATGAGGAGTAAGACATAAGGAGACGCAGCTACATGCTCAGCATGCTCATCTGCCGCTTCATCGGACTAGTGGACCCCGCGTCCCCGTCCTCACTGGGTCCCAGCCCACTGTCCGTCCAGCCCAGCCCGGCGTCGGTGTCGATGTCCCATTCCTCGTCCTCGCCCTCCTCGCCGTACTCGTCCGCCCCGTCCAGCACCGCCGCCGACCAGCTCTTCTGCACCGCCCCGCGCGTGTTCCACCGCAGCGCGCGCTGCACGCTCTGGAACCACTCCCCGCTGCCGGACACCACCGTCGGGAAGGGGTATTGGCTCGCTTCGACGGTCACGTAGTCGCCCTGTCGAAGCTCCACACGACCTTTGCCGTCGAAGGAGCAGTACGCCGTCGAGCGGGATCCGGGGGGCACGGCGATGCGGAGGAGGGAGGTGTCGGAGAGGACCATGGGCCGGAAGGAGAGGGTGTGCGGACAGATCGGGGTGAGGAGGATGCCAGGGATGGAGGGGTGGATGAGAGAGCCGCCGGCTGAGAGGGAGTATGCGGTTGAGCCTGTTGTGTCACAAGTTAGTTTTCAGGTCGGCGCGACATACTTTGGCGAGCGGGTGGGGGAAGGTCAGGCTTACCTGTAGGAGTGGAGAAGATGCAGCCGTCGGCTTGGACAACGGTTAAGAGATCGTTATCCGCGTAGAGCTCAAGGTTAGACACATAAGGAGACGGGCCACGGTCGATGACCAGCTCGTTGAGCACCTCGAACTGCTCCCCTTCCTCGACGGCCCCGGCCTCGGCGCCCTTGCTCCGGTCCTTCCGGAAGACGGTGCACGTGAACCGCATGCGGAGGTTGACGCGCATGCCCACATCGCCCATGACGGCGTTCAGATGATCTTTGTAGTTTTCGAACTCGAAGTTCGTCAAGAACCCCAGACTGCCCAGGGAGAAACAGAGTATCGGCGGCACGATCCGCTGGAACAGCCAGGAGGTGAACAGCACCGTGCCGTCACCCCCGAGCGTCAACACGAGGTCGAACCGCTCCGGGCACGACCAGCACAGGTCGGGCGTCCAGTAGCGGAGCATCTCCTGGTACCGCGGGTCCTTCTCCAGGAGGCCCTGCGCGTCGAACCGCTTGGAGTTGCGCAATTTCGCGTCCACGTAGACGTTGACCCCGATCTCGTTCCCATAACGTGGCGTCGAGAGCAGCCACTCCGCCAATTCGCGCGTGAGGTGGACCAGGCTGTTGTCGCGCGCCTTGGTGACGATCATGACGGTCTTGACGGCGCGTTTGATCGGTCGGCGCTGCAGCTGCTTGGACACCTCCCGCACGCCCGTCGCGGTCTGCACCAACCGCGAGTGAGACAGCCACTCGTCATCGGTGATCTCCTCGAGCACTTTCTGGATGTTGACGGCGTCGTCGAAGCGTTGGTGGAAGAAGCAGGGCGATTGCAGGGCCAATCGCGCCGACGGGGCCGCCCGGTCGAGGTAGGCTCCGAGTTGTAGGTTGGATAGGGCAGCGGACAGTTTTTGAGAGGAGGAGTTGATCGAGGCGCGGCGCGTGGGCTCGTCGGAGGAGTTGTTGGGGTTGGGGTTGGGGTTGGGGGAGTTGGAAGGGAGGAGCCCCAGAGACGCCGCCAGCGGCATGTTGGGGTTCTGTTGCGCGGAAATGGACGGTCGGGAGGCGAGCGCTTTAAGGATAGTCTGACGAGGGATGGAATCACTCGATAATGCGTTCCTCTGGTGGCCGGAGAAGGCGGCGGTCTTTCGCAGGTGGAGGAACGAAGGCGACGGAAGCGACGGCACTACGGACTCCTCGCGGATAATCTCCGACGCACGGCGAGTCTCGCGACGGCACTCGGGCGGCCCGGAAGTCGAATGATCGGTATGGATGTCGCTCGTGGTCTCGGAGGGATCGATATTCAGGGCATAATCGCGCAGGAGCAGGGCGCCAACGGTGGCAGAGCGCTGGACAGGCGGGCGCACCGGAGATTCTGATAGTGGTGGGGCCGCGGAGGGTGAGGACAAGCAAGTCGGGTCTGAAGGAGGGATCGTGGCGCAAGAAGATCTAGGAGATGATTGGGAGAGACTCATAGGGCCATGGTCTGACGGAGAGGACGCCATGAACAGCTGAGAAATGACAGGTGTCGCAAGAGGATCAGAGGCTTTGGGGGAGGGGGAAGAGGTGAGTAGATAAAGTGGGTTGAATGGGAGGGAAGGGGGGGGGGAGTTGTCTTAGAACAATCACTAGTAAATCTGGTAGTCTAATGGAACAATAATACTGAATTACTGATATGGGGACGGGATGGAAAAACCAGGCCGAGTCCGGAAGTAACGGGGTTTGGACGGGGTAAAGTCAGTCTGTAGAACCTGCGGAGTGACACGCTACAGTGCACACGCTACACCATCCAACGAACTTTCGGCAGTGTCTGTTGGTAGTTAATTCTCCCCACATTACGGAGTAGTGTCGCCTTCGATGCGCTTCCACAAGCAATTTCCCTCGTGTCATCTTTCCAGGCAATATAACCTAGTGTCATCTGTCACCTGTAATCATATCATGGATTGGTTTCCCTGCCAAGTCGGGCGGTTCTGTAACCCCGTAACCGGCACCCCTCTCACTCACGCTGACAGGGCAATTTCTACACTGCAGGCAATGTTGTAACTATTTTTATTCACCACCGCTGTCTGGAGATGAGCGGAGATCCCCCCATGTGTAACAAGGCGTGTGCCTTGTCTTATCTTCAACTAGGTTGCTCAACCTGCGAACAAGTCATTCTGCAATGCAATGCTCCTTTTTTTCAAGAGTGGATAAATTTTCTACAGTGCGATGTGTCTGTGATTACCTCGCAATTGACTAAACTCCGCGTGCTCCACATGCATCTCTTGAATCCAGCCCAGTCAGATGCTAAGAATACGAACCCAGCTCACTGCAGCACCCCTTCCCCCACCGTGGCTTTTTGCCTGAATGGATGTCCTGTCACAGCACCATGTTCCACTTTCGGACAAATCCATGCACGTCCCCCCCGCCCCTTGGAAAGTTGGAAGGTCGGAGGGTCCTGAATAATCGGCGCCGGTGCTTTTGACGATTCCTGCGCAAGTTTCTTTTTCGTATCCACATGATGGAATGCCATAGAACCTGCTGTCTGCGACGGGCGCCAAGACGCCCCGTGCACACTAGGCCGCCGAAAGTAGTGCCGTTTAGAAAAGCCGACCCTGCGATACTGGGTGAGAACGGCTCCGATGAGAGAAATCGTCGGGAGTCAACATGTTCGGGAAAATCGAGTCTGAAGCTCAGGGTATTCGAGAATCTTCTTAAATAGCGATCGATCTGCGGACACCGATCCACGGGCATCGGCAATTTTTCCGGTGTAGCGTTATAGGCCCGATGATCAAGCAGCGTTGATCTTCCAGTTGTAGTCGCGATAGACCTGGTCCTCGACAGTTTCCCGCAGGGTTCCCTCCAGTGGCCGGCCATCAACATCCTCCGCCATTGCAACATCGCCGTCAGCGCTGACCAGTTGTGTTCCATGGCAGATGGCCGAGGCGCGCTGGCGCACCTTGTCCCACGTGTCAAAGTCAAATGATCCCTGGCTTTCGTTCAGCAGCAGATGGCCCTTCGAGGAGAAAGCGAGGACGTGGACGGACTGCGCGGTGGCTGCATCCTCCGCGGAAGGTTCCCGGCGGATCTGCCCCGACTCGTCGACGGCCAGGACCGTGGCAGAGAAGGTCATCGACAAAGGCACGGATGCTGATAAGAGAGCCAGAAGTGCAGTGTGGAGGAGCGCGGGGAGCAGAATCAGATACTGGACGGAAGAAGCAGATCACACTGCGTTAGTCGATGACCACCAAGCCAATAGAGCGTCTGTCTGTTGATGGAGGTAAGAATTACGAACCGGATCCCCTCTACCGACACTCTCACCACCAATGATAGCCAGCGTGATAACCACCCCACGACGCGGATAGCCCTTCTCGCGTCCCAGGATCACTCGCCCCAGCAGTGTCTTGAGAATTCCCTCCACATAGCGTTCTCCAACTCCCGCGGGAGCAGTGCCCGGCTTGACGAAGACTTCGATGGTCGCATCTTCGGGCTTGAGAGCGTCACGGCGACCGGGGAGCTCGACAGGTGCGTTGACGGAGCCTAGAATATTGGAGCCGGTCGAAGGACACTGGTAGGAAGCCGACCCGTCGGCGCGGTTCAGAACGGACAGGGTAGCAGATGGCGCGACCATGGTAGCTTTATTGAGCGGTGTAGGAGTCACAAACGATAGTTGAAGAAAGAGCAGAAGGGAAGGTCGTTGTTGTGTTGTACTAAGCTGCGAGTGGAAGCTGAACTGGACCGGAAGGCGAGCTTCTGTTCGCAGCTCCCGCTGGGATTTTTTTTGGCCGCGGAGTCGCATGACGGCGGGCTGTCCGCTGATTGGTCTATCCATGCCAACCACGCCGGCGTTGGAGCTTCAGTTCCTCTCTCAATCCATGAACTGCACGCGAATATTTAATCAATTCTACAAACAATTTAAGAATCATGGTCTTGAAGCTCAGGCAATCTGTGACTCTGAGGAAATTATATCAGCATTCAGATGGATAACATTAAGTCTAGAACCTGAAACCCTCTGGGGGACCTATTGTACCTGATATATATCTGCCGGGATACTATGACCATCAGTTCCAATTCAGCCCACCGCCCAGAAGACGCCTTCGGACTACAAATACCCCGCGGAGTTTCTATACAATCATGTCAGCGTACTTGGCTAACGAACGACAGTGCAATCCACGCTCATAGCTTCTCTAAGATGATCCACAACGTACTCCATAGTTGTGCTCGAAGTCGCCGAACTGCAATCGGAGTCCTTCGGTCTCGGACTCGGAGCCAATTGCAGTAAGCAGATTGATCCCCTCGCCGGAGGTCGACAGGAGCGCCAACAAACACCTGCAGCAGTGGTCGTGCAGTGGTGGGGGCCGACTCGCGTAACCTTCGCAGCCTTGCAGTCTCTCCAACTCTCTCTGCCCCTCACTTGACCTGCTTGCGAGTATCGTGATTGTGCCTTTCTCCTGCTGCACTGCTGCTTTCTTCAAACCAACAGATAAAGATGAAGTTTCTCTGCTTACATGGCAAAGGCACCAGTGGTGCGATCTTCAAGTCTCAAACAGGTCAGTTTGTCTAACAGCCCCAATTCTCTACCTTCATCTCTAGAATCGCTTCATTAACTCAAGGAGCAAACCAGCGGCGTTACGCTCGCGCTTGTCGGAACTGAACATCGAATGGGACTTTGTCGATGGCTTCCACACGACCGACCCCGCCCCGGGGGTTGATCTCTTCTACGCACCCCCCTACTACTCCTGGTACGAGAACGACACGGTCGACGAGATCGCGACCTGCCGCCAGCGGCTGCAGCAACACATCACGACGCATGGGCCCTACGACGCCGTCATGACCTTCTCCCAAGGCGCCGCCGTAGCGTCCACATTCGCATTACTCCAACTCTCCGAGACGCCCGACCAGCCCCTCCCCTTCAAGGCCGCGATCTTCATCTGCGCCGGCTCGCCGCTGCGCATCATGGAGCAGGTCGGCTACGAGATCGCCCCGCAGGTGTGGGAGAAGGATATCCTGACGCGGAAGGCGCTCGCGGCGCAGGCCGACGCCTCGGCGATCCTGTTGCAGGGCTCCTCGCGGTGGAACGGGAACCACGGCGGCGCGAACGAGTCGGAGGAGGACATCCGGCGGGAGATCACCCCGTCGCAAACCGTGCTCTCGATCCCCACGGTGCACGTGTACGGCGCGCGCGATCCGCGGCTCTCGGCCGGCATCCAGCTGTCGCAGACCTGCGACCCGGCGAAACGCAGAATGTACGACCACGGCGGCGGCCATGAGATCCCGCGCACGGAGGCTGTGACGAGCAGCATCGCGGCGTTGGTGCGGTGGGCGTTGCGCGCGGGCGGAGTGATCTAAACATTGGTTTCACCACGTGTGGCTTTTTTGGGGTTTCTTTTTCCTTTTTCTGTCGATTAGATGGCAGTGATTTATGTCATTATTTATGTCATTAGCATTAGGGCAACTAGAATTGAAATTTGAGAGGCCTTTCTCTTTGTATTTTATCTCTTTTCAGCAAACGGCCAACATTACATACAGGATAACAAGAGCTCTGGCATCCAGAAGCACAGATGCATCCGTAACCTAGTAGGTAGGAAGTAGTTCGGGCGAGTGCTTCGCGGCCTGATTGCGAGTGATGACCTGTAGCTATGTAGCATGCGGAACCCCAGACTCCGAGAGTCACGGGAAAGACGTGAGCAAGCAGGAACACACAGGGTTCAAGGAGAGCCCCGAATGCGTTGCTCTGATTAGGATTTGGGTGGTCCGGAAAGGTTCTTTGCTTCGACGCCGGACCTACATAGCTAGCTGCACTAGTAGGCTCAATCACGTCAACAGAATTTGAATCGAAGCGAAGTGCACTGAGATGATTGGGGAGTGGAGTGGCCCCGTTCACTTGACAAACCGGACTTGCTCCCTCTTCCACATCAAGGCAACAGCGATCAATTGCGCCGCTCCAAACGCCCCAACCGCGTACATCTGTCGATTGTACCCCGCCGCGTAGACCTTGCGAATCTCCTCCTGGGTCGCCGTCGGAAACCCGGAGAGCAGGTTCGGATCCGCTGCTGCTGCCTCGGTTGCCGGAAGATGACCCTTGACGTAATCGATCAAGATGCTGTTGACGATGGCCACGCCGAGGGAGGCCCCGATCATGCGCGCTTGGAGCGTCAGGCCCATGGCAGTGGCTGCGCAAAGCGAAGTCAGCTAGTTAGCGGCGGAGAAAAGCATTTTGAGACTACTGAACGTGCGTGGTAAGCACTAGAGCTCCGGCTAGAGGACACCAACCTTGATCCGTGGTCACCACCACCGGCACACACATGTACAGCGCCGCGATGGAAATCCCTGTCCCCAGACCCGTGATCACCATGTATCCGTACTGGCCCGGCCAGATGTCCACGGTGGGTGGCACCGAGGAGAGGAGGAAGGCCCCCACGATCTGCAGCACGGACCCTGCCGCCGCCAGATACACGAACGGAGTGCGCAGGCGCCCGGCCAGGAGACTGCAAATCCCCGCGCCGACGGGCGAGCCCAGCCCGAACGTGAGGACCTTCACCCCGGCGCCGATCGCGGTGCTGTGGTTGACGGTCTGGAAGCGCTGCGGGATTTCGATGTACAGGATTGTGACCGCAGGTCCTGTGAGGAAGCAGCCCCTGGGGGGAGGGGTGTGTTGTCAGGCGATGAACGAGTGGAGGCAAGAGGAGCGGGAGGGGGGCTTCGACTCACAGGATGGCTCCCAGCAACACTCGGTTACGGAGGATGCTCCAAGGGAGAATCGGCTCGAATCCCCAATACTTGCGATTGGCCACGGACCACTCCCATGCGATAAACCCAACCAGCAACACGCCCGAGATCGTCAGCATGGCGATGATGGCAGCTGACGACCACGCGTACCGGATGTTCACTTCCTCGAAGGCGGCCACGAAGAAGACGGAGAAGGAGAGCAGCAGCAGGCAGCCAACGGTGTCTGCTTTGGTCAGGAAGTTCCAGAGCCCATGAATCTGGTCGCCGGCCTTTCGGGAACTCTCAAAGTCGTTGGGAACCAGGATCCAGATGGTTGCCCATGCCACTATCCCGGCCGGAACACTAGAGCAACAAGGCATGTCAGCACTAGAGGCAGTCGACACCGACCTACATGGCTCGCATAGCTCACTTACTTGAATAGGAAGATCCAACGCCAGGCGCCGGATGTGCTGATGCCACCCCCAATTAATGCGCCCAGGATCAGCGCCAGCGTCAGCACACCTGACCCCGCTGCACTGGCGATGTCAAACTTGGCAGGGGGAAGGAGGCAGATCAGGCCAAAAAGACACGAGGTAAAGACCCCTGATCCCCCGATGCCCTGGAAGGCGCGGCAGATAATGCTATTGTGCGAAAGCAATCAGACCAGGTGTGGCAGGGAGGAGGGGGGAGGGTGACCAGGGAAACTAAACTCACAGCTGACTCATGGTCTGGGCAGCAGCGCAGCCTCCTGAGAAGGCCACGAAGGTGGCTAGTGAGATTAGAATCGTTATCTTGAGCCCAATAAAGTGACTGCATTTGGCCCAGACGGTGAGGAAGCCCGCGAACGCCAGCAGGTAGGAGGTGATGATCCAGGTGCTTTGATCGAAGCCATCCAGGTGATGGCTGATGGTGACTAGTGAGGTACTAATGATTGTGATCTCAGCCGTGGCGAGGAATAGACTCAGCGCGATACTGTGACATTAGGCAAGGTAGTTAGTGATAGTAATGTTCGGTGATGCTGTCAGATCGATTAAAACTTACCCGCCGCCAGCGAACCACAGTCGAGCGCCATGCATGTACCTCGGCTGACCAAAGACCTCGTTGTTCTGTTCTTCGGCCGATGTGGCACTCATGGATGACAGGGCGTGCGATTCGGGGACCGAGTTATGGGTTTTGTGATTTACATCCATTGCTCTGGGACTTGGTGGGTTGATGTTGCTGCAGTGCTAACCGGGATTCCCGCGAAGAAAGCAGATAGGTGCCTGGGAATCATCCACATATAAGGGCACGATTACGGTACTCAGCTGGATACCTGACAACAAAAAGAAAGGACTCTTTGAGATCATCGATCATTGAACCTTACTGGGCGGATCCGCCCAGAGTTCAGCCAGAAGCTTAGCTTACATTGCTACTAGATCATTCTTAGTAAAAGAAATCAGACCCGCACGACCCCTGCACACACCAGGTAGGAGTGAATGCGTGGTGATTCACCGGGACCTTGCATGTCACTTTCTTTCCAGTCGAGAAGCAAACAAAATCGTGTCACAACTAAATGATCTGCATCCACTAGTGGTACTTTACAATAGGTGCAGTGCAGTCCTAGTTACTCTGCTTTAGATGCGGCATCGATGACCCGGCGAATGACGTGCACAGTTTGGGTTACATCGCTCCTGGCCCCGGCCCGGGGAATGTCATGCCCTTGTGCATGCACATACACCCACCGCACCCCGGCCGCGCAGATGGTATTTGTCACCGCAATCTCGCCCGCCGCCAGATCCTGCGAGCCCCAGATGTGCGCCGTGGGAATGCGGACCACATCCTGGTGGGCTCCGAGGTCTATCGGCCGGATCTCCCCGCTTTGGATGGCGCCGTAGTCCAGGGGTGGGTGGGTGATCGAGAGGATGATGGCGAACCTGAATGGCAGGGGGCGGTCCGGCTGCTTGGCGAGATGCGCGAGGTAGGTCAGGATCAACGTGCCTGCCTGGCTGAACGCGATGACGCCGTCGTAGGGCCCTTCGTGGTAGAGCAGCTCCTCCAGGTGCCCGTAGGCGGCGACTCCGCTTTCCGGGTTCTTCTCGTCAAAGTAAGCGTACATCGACTCGTCCTTCGTCGCGATGAGTTCGATCCCTGTGACCACGTTTGGTTCCTGGCTTGTGGAGGCTGGTGCTGAGGAGGAGAAGGGGGAATGAGGCTTACCCGGCTGCATCGGGGCAGGGATGTTGCCTTCGATGAAGTCGTAGGTGTGGTTATCTCCGAGTTCGTACCGAATGGCTGCGGTTTGGATCTCGAAGACCTGAGGCTGTCAGCTGGCCTGGCTGGTTTTGATTTGGGGCGTGATGGGGATGTGAGATGACCTACTCGAGAGTTTGAGCCGGCTCCGTGTAGACTGGCTTTATGTGAGTATATCAAGAGAGTAAGGTAGTGGGCTTTTTGATATCTAGTCGACATACCAAAGAATGTGCATGCTGAAGGACCGTGTGAGTAGAGAAAGTTGTTGTTTCGCAAGATGGCAAACTTGACAAACTCCGCCCGGAAGCAAGTGAAAGGAGGAGGAGAGGACCACACGGCAAGTTGATTATATTGCCTTTCTCAAGAATCGTCTTGTCACTCGGTAATAGGAACCTTGAACAGAACTCGGCTATCTGTTTCGGGCTGGGGATGATCCCCGATCCTCCCACGAGTCATGCAAGCTCGTTGCACTAATGTCCATTTGGGCCATGCAGCCTTGCCTCCATTCCAGTGAATGGACCGGTTTTGACAGCCGGAGTCATGGATTGCACATGCTAAACAGCCCAGATGGGTAGTAATCCCTCAAAATTCACCGGTGTTACTGCTTGGAAGAGACGGGAGGGATAACAAAGCCAGGCCGTGCCAACCCAAGCGAACACGATCCCACTTCATTCACTTAACACATCTGTGCCGTGTCTTCTCCTTTCCTTGCACTTCATGAGATCATGACTCTGGACATCTCACCCACATCACGTAAGATGTCAATGTGACCCTTCAGACTGCTAAGCCTTTCGTCAAGTTGACAAGCAGTGGGGTAAGTCGACCGGGATTCAAGACACCCAGCCTCTCCCTATACATGACTGTACAGCAAGTGATAACATTTTATCTTTCAGGCAGCTTTATTCATCATGGCGTCCAACGTGGTCCCCCCGCTTGCCATCATCGGGCTATCCTTCCAGTTTCCCGGAGATGCAACGACCCAAAATGCGTTCTGGAACATGCTGGTTGAAGGTCGATGTGTATCCAGCGAGTTCCCCGCGGACCGAATGAATATCGATGGCCATCACAACACCAACAGAGATAAGTTGCACAGTGTGTCTTGCAGAGGAGGTCACTTTCTCACTCAAGATCTCGCGGCATTTGACGCGCCTTTCTTCAACATCTCCGACACCGAAGCAAAGGCCATGGATCCACAACAGCGCCTCGCCTTGGAGACCGTGTATCGAGCTCTCGAGAACGCGGGCCTTCCGATGAACGAGGTGGCCGGTTCAAAGACGAGCGTGATGGCTGGTTCCTTTTGCAACGACTATCATGCAATCCAGACCAAGGACACTCTAAATCTTCCCAAGACCGCTACCATGGGCAGCTCCCAGAGTATGATCGCAAACCGTATCAGTTGGTTCTTTGACTTGCAAGGTCCAAGCGCAACAGTAGACACTGCCTGCTCCAGCAGTCTCATGGCCGTGGATTTGGCATGTCAGTCACTATGGAGTGGTGATGCGACGATGGTTCGTGAGCCCTCTTCCTACCTTACTTCTTCCACAACACATTTGATATGGGTGTAAGTCTAACCTTTTTTGACCTCTCACACAGGGAATTGCCCTCGGGTGTAACGTCATACTCGCCCCTGAGATGACGATCGGCTTGGATAACCTTGGGCTCCTGTCCCGCGATAGCCGCTGTTACAGCTTTGACAATCGTGCCAACGGATATGCAAGAGGCCAAGGCGTCGGTGCTGTGATTATCAAACGTCTCGATGAGGCCATTGCAGCCGGAGACACTGTCAGAGCGGTCATTCGGTCGTCGGGCTCCAACCAGGACGGCAAAACTCCGGGGATCCTGCAGCCAAGTAAAGACGCGCAGGTCCGCTTGATTCGTGAAACCTATCGGAAAGCCGGTCTTGATATGCGTTCAACCAGATACTTCGAGGCGCATGGCACCGGTGAGCAGATCCTGAGTCACATGGGGTATAATATCGCTAACATTGGCTAGGGACTCCGGTTGGCGATCCCATCGAGACTAGGGCGATCGGATCAGCCTTTCAAGGTTATCGCTCATCCGACGACCCACTTTACGTGTGAGTGATCTGCAACTTGAGTCTAATATTTGCAGTCTAATGCAGCCTATAGGGGCTCTGTCAAATCCAACATCGGCCACCTAGAGGGAGCGAGTGGTATTGCGGGCCTGATCAAAGCAGTTCTTATCTTGGAGAAAGGGATCATTCCGCCAAACAGTGGCAATTTGCAGACACTCAATCCCCAGATCGATGAGCAGTACCTTAATCTGAAGGTAAGCACTTGTTCTTCCCTGAGCTTGATTTCTGCTAACATAGATAAAGATCTTGAGACATGCAATCTCTTGGCCCTCGCCAGGCCTACGCAGAGCTTCTGTCAATTCCTTCGGCTTTGGTGGTGCGAATAGTCATGTCGTTCTCGACGATGCTTACAACACCTTTTGCATGCACGGTATCGAAGATGGACGTCACCAGACTGCCATCGAGCCTCCCTTGCTACACAACGAAGAGCACCTACTACAGGCAAATGGTCGAACTAAGAATGGCACCGATTCTTCTAATACTCAGAGGAATGGCATTGTGATTCCCACATCTCAATGTGCCGTTCTAGTGTGGTCTGTAGCAGATGAAGCAGGTATCAAAAGACTTACCCAGTCGTGGCGGCAGTATGTAGCTGCTACGGAAGCCATGAACCGACCCACGGTGGCCGGCATACAAGACTTGGCCTTTACACTGTGCGCGAGGCGGAGCGAACTTACATGGAGGGCCTTTGTCGTTGCAAAGCCAGCGGAAGACCTGCACGTTGCAATGGAGAGGATTAGCACTGCTACATGCTCCAAGCCAAACCCACATTTAGCCTTCATCTTCACGGGCGTGAGTACCCCTACAGTTACTATCTGAAGGCCCAACTAACCGCAAGCAGCAAGGAGCCCAGTGGTATGCTATGGGCCGTGAGCTGATAGATCGATACGATGTCTTCAAGACTAGTCTAATTGATTCGGGCAACTACTTCAAGGGGCTTGGTTGTACGTGGGATGTTCTAGGTGAGCGCTTCCGAGCACCTTAGCTTTTCAGAGTACTCACCTTTCTTGCAGACGAGTTGCAGAGAGATGAAGTTGACTCTCGAGTCAACGACCCGACGTTTGGACAGCCACTCTGCACAGCACTGCAGATTGCCTTAGTAGAGCTCCTCCAATCTTGGGGTCTCAGGCCTGATACGGTGGTAGGCCATTCCTCTGGTGAGATTGCAGCTGCGTAAGTCAATTCCTTGAATTACCTCCTCCAGTGAACTGAGCTAATATCTTGCGGAAAATCCAGTTATTGCGCTGGTGCAATCACAAAAGGTTCTGCCCTGAAGATTGCGTACTATAGAGGCTTCCTCACCGGGATCTTAGGGAAGTACCGTACTGTGGCACCTAATGCTCTAGCTGCGCTAATGGCAATGCAATTCGGGGAAAAGTGTCAAGATCGTGCGAAGAGCGAACCCCTGTTTGATATTTCCTGTTTTAGGTAAGTTGGTTCCGGAAGCATCATGCTCTCATGACACCTGCTCATATGCTGACGCTGTTCCAGACGGTCCCAGAAAGAAATCCCAGAAGGTGGCGCAAAGGACGAATACTGTAAACGCGCTCTTGCATGGCAATTCACAAGACATCTGGCCAGTGGTATGAATGGCGCTATGCTCGCTGTGGGTATGTCGAGCCGAGAAGTGCAGCAATACCTGAAGTCCGTGGCTTCTCACTTCCGTGAACTCAAGCTCGAAGTTGCTTGCATCAACAGCCCTACCAGCGTCACTATTTCCGGGAAAGCGAGCCAGATCGACTTTCTGCATCAGATTCTAGTCGAGAAGAAGGTTTTTGCAAGAAAGCTTGCAGTCAATGTCGCATATCACTCATCTCAGATGAAGGAGATTGCCGGCATATATCAAGAACTGTTAGCAGAGCTGGAACGACCAGCCAAGGCCAAGAAGCCGCCGGTGATGATATCTAGCATCACAGGGGCATGGATCTCGGAAGAGGAGCTATCGAAGCCCGAGTACTGGGTAAGGAACCTGGTATCGCCAGTGTTATTCGACGATGCTGTCTCAAAGTTGTGTTCCCAATCAACAACATCAACTCGAAGATTTGATGGAAGTCATCGCCGCAATGTCGCGCCGGACCATCTCCTAGAAATTGGGCCTCATTCCGCCCTCCAAAGTCCTTGTGGAGACATTCTCAAGGCCGTGGGCAAGCACGATCAAATCACCTACATTCCACTTCTGCGCCGTGGTCGCTCTGCCGTTGACTGCGTGATGCACGGGGCAGGCCGCTTGCACTGTAGCGGCTACCCGATTGACCTGCTTTCAGTCAACAATGGAGGTGAACTTAAGCCGCAACACAATCGTCGCGTGCTCGTCAATTTACCGGAGTACCCCTTTAACCACTCCAAGACATATTGGTTCGAGAGCCGCATCAGCAAAGGTTACAGATTCCGTCGGTTCGGCCACACGGAACTACTAGGTGTGCCTGATCCTGATGGAAATCCTATGGAGGCCAGCTGGAGAAACATCATACGGCTTTCGGAGATGCCATGGGTGGAGGATCATAAGATCAACAACAGCATCCTGTATCCCGGTGCCGGCATGGTTGTCATGGCTATCGAAGCAATTAAGCAACTGGCGGACCAGAGCCGGGGAATCGCAGGGTTCGACATCAAGGACGTGGTCTTCTCGTCGGCTTTGCAGATTCCACGTCATGCTGATGGTGTTGAGGTGAGCGTTTACCTGAAGCGAGTCGGAAGTGCCAACAAGGATGCAACGGGCTGGTTCGAGTACCGCGTTTGCACGTACAATAATGAATCGTGGATTGAGAACAGCTCAGGTTCAATCCAAGCTCATTATGAGTCCGATGTGCAGACGCCAAACATCAGCGATGGTGAAGAAGCTAAATGGCAGGCGTCCCTTGTTGAGAATTGCCAGCGTGCAAGCGAGCAATGTGCATCGCATGAAGACTCCAGCAGATTTTATAACGGCCTGCGCAACTGTGGGTATTACTATGGATCGATGTTCAGAGTCATTGAGGGCAACGTGTCCAGGCAGAACGATGAAAAAGCCATGATTGCAGAAGTCAAGGTCTTCAAGCCTGACTGCACAACAGGATCAGAGGTCTATCCCGCGCATACAATCCACCCTACCACGCTAGACGGTGTGGTTCAAATGATGGCAGCGCTAGCCACTGACGCCGGACAGCGAACGATTCCCGTCTCCGTGCCCACGAGCATCACCCGACTCTGGATCTCCAATACAGGTGGATTAAGCTATCCTTCGGCAGAACTCATCAAGGTCTATGCGACTTCCGTTCAATCTGCTCTTGGCAGCACACAGTATACCATGACGGCATATGACCGCAACGTATCCAAGGCTATATTAAACCTAGAAGGACTAAAAGTGACCTCAATCGCGAGTCCAGAGAATGTCTCACTCTCAGACCAATTCAAGGCCGATAATTTATGCCATCACGTCGAATACAAGCCAGACACCGATCTTCTCACCAACCACGGATTCCTAACTGCGTTTGGCAGAGAGGAACTCCAAGTTTCGGGCCCGGTGCAGCATTTGCGGGATATGGAGTTCCTGATTGCGACCGGCATCAACAAATACGCCGATCCGCTCAGTGAGATGGACAAAAGCACTCTACCCCCTCACACGATTCTCTACATTGAGTGGATTCTGGAGCGTGAACGATTACTGGAGCTCGATGTGTCGGACTTCGGCTCAATCGAGTGGCGGCATCATATGGACGACGAGGCCTACGTAGCAGAGGTCCATAAACGGGTTGAAAGGGCCAGCAAGCGCGGCCTTCTCGTGAGCACTCTCTGCAAGAACCTTCTGGAGATTCTCAACGATCCTTTGCCTCATCTCTTCAAGGACAATCTGCTTACCGATGTGTATTCCGAGATGTTGTACGGCCTTCCAGCGGCAACGGCCCTCGCACGATACATCGACGCGCTGGCTCACAAAAACCCTCGCATGAACATCCTCGAGATCGGGGCTGGCACTGGGGCGATGACTGAGCTCTGCATCAAGGCCCTGGCTTCCCCGGATATGGAAAATGCACCGCGCTATGCCCAATGGGACTTCACTGACATCTCCAGCTCGTTCTTCCCAGACGCCGTAAACCGCTTCGAGACCGAAAAGCGGCGGATGAATTTCCGTGTGTTGGATATTGAGCAGGATCCAGAGACCCAAGGCTTTGGTTCGGGATCGTACGACTTGGTTGTTGCTTTTTTGGTGCGTGTCGCTTCCTTGGGTTGAGGATGTTGGACGCCAGTACTGACATGGATTAGGTCCTTCATGCAACAACCAATCTAGCAGCCAGCCTGAGGAACGTTCGAAAATTGTTGAAAACGTACGTCGCTTGTGAGGTAGATGTGAACAGGTGCTGATGTATAGACAGGGGCGGGAAATTGCTGCTTTTCGAGATCACGCATCCTGATCCGGTTCGGGCTAGCTTTGTGTTCGGGCTCTTTGAGGGTTGGTGGCGTTGTGAGTCTCTCTGAATGAATGTGTGCGAAGCCACGCTGATTGCCTGAGTAGCAAGTGAAGCCTACCGCCAGAGTCATCCGTGTGTTGATGTCAATCGATGGGAGACTTTGTTAAAAGATTCAGGATTCTCAGGGTGCGAGCTTGCGATAGATGACTACGTCGATACTTCATGTCATGAAGGAACGCTTATCGTTGCGAGCGCCGTGTCTCCCGTTACGAAGATGGAGGCGACGAGGACCGTTATGGCTCGAGCCAAGCCTTCCGCGCCAATCACACAGAAGGAAGTCAATATCGTTCTCAACACCGCCAATCCCCGTCAGGTTGAGCTTGCAAATATGCTATCTGAGCTACTTGACCAGACTGAAGTTAGCGCCGTGAAGCGAGGTCTGGAGGATATCAAGAAACGAGACCATTCTTCCGGTAACTTGGACATCTCCCTCCTCGACTACGACTTTCCTTTCACATACAACATGGAAGCGGAAGAATATGAAGGCCTGCAACAGTTGATAACCACAACGACGAATCTCATCTGGGTAGACAGCGGAGGAGGCCCTGAACCCTCGCCCCAGTTTCGACTTGTTGACGGTTTGTTTCGTGTTCTTGCCCGCGAATTGTCCAGAGCGAAGATCACAACTTTATCCATAGAGGAAAGCATGGTCTTGCACAAGGCAGAGCAGATTGCTAAGGTATTCGAAACCGTCACATCAGAAGCAACGGACGTCGACACAGAGTATAGAGTGATCGACGGGGTGATCCACATCGGTCGTTTGGTCGCCGCTCGAGGTATCTCTCAGACCATCGCGAAGATGAAGCTACCACAGCAAAGAGAGCTCAGAGCATACAGCGCAGGCCCACCGCTCCGCCTCGAAGTTGGCACGCCAGGTCTTCTGCACATCATCCAGTTTGTCGAGGATAGATCTCTACATGATCTCCTGAAGCCGGACGAGATTGAGATTCATGTGAAAGCTGTGGGCCTCAATTTTCGCGACGTCTTGATTGCCTTGGGCCGCCTGGAAAGCGACACGCTCGGTGCTGAGTTTGCGGGAATTGTGGTCCGTGTCGGGTCCCAGTGCCAGCGGTTCAAAGCTGGTGATAGGGTGGTTGTCTTTCATCCGAGTCGCTATGCAAACTACGTTCGTGTGCGTGAGAATATGTCTGTCGTCAAGATCGCGGACGAAACTGTGCCAATGTCATTCGTGACTGCGGCTGCGATTCCTGTGGCCTTCGCTACTGCGTGGATTACGCTGACGCGGTTGGCGAGGCTGCAAGCAGGGGAGTCGGTCCTGATTCACTCAGGCGCAGGCGGCACCGGGCAGGCAGCCATCCAGGTTGCTATGTATTGCGGAGCCAAGATTTTCACGACTGTTTCGACCGAAGAGAAGAAACGATTCCTGATGGAGCGCTATAATATCCCGGAGGATCACATCTTCTCCAGCCGCAATACACTGTTCGCCAAGGGAATCAAACGCCTGACGGGAGGCCGGGGTGTCGATGTTGTGCTCAATTCACTGGCCGGCGAAATGCTTATCGCATCTTGGGAGTGCATTGCGCCATTTGGACGATTCATCGAGATTGGAAAGAACGATATCCTAACGAATACGAAGCTTCCGATGTTGCAATTTGAGAAGAATGTGACCTTCACGGCGGTGGACCTTGCCGAGATGGCGTTTGACCGCCCGCAGTTGATTCAACAAGCTTTGACAGATGATGTGTTCAAGTTGATCAAAGCAGGCGATTTGGAGACTCCTCAACCGTTACAGGTGTTTGGCGTTGGAGATCTTGAGCAAGCTTTGCGCCATCTGCAGAGTGGGAGAAACTCGGGCAAGGTAGTGGTGGAGCTTCGGGATGACGAGCAAGTCATGACACTTCTGGATACTACACCATCTTTTGCATTTGAACCCAACGCCGCGTATGTGATTGCAGGCGGCTTGGGGGGCCTTGGTCGAAGTATAGCCAGTTGGTTTGTGGAGCGCGGCGCTCGCAACTTGGTCCTCCTCTCACGTTCGGGTCAGAAGAACGAGAACGCACGCGAGTTGGTGGCAAGCCTGGAGGGCCAGGGTGCCCGAGTCGTCACGCCAATGTGTGATATCACGGATCGAGCTTCCCTGAGAGTCGTCCTCGATGTATGTCGCCAACTGATGCCTCCGATTAAAGGTTGCGTACAAGCATCAATGGTTGTCAGGAGCGGCAACTTCGAAAGTCTCGACTACGAATCCTGGAAGGCATGCACGGCACCGAAAGCCCAGGGCTCCTGGAACCTGCACGAGCTTCTCCCGCGAGGCATGGACTTCTTCGTCATGCTCTCCTCCATCAGCGGAATCTGCGGACCCCTCACTGATGCCAGTTACGCAGCAGGAAACACGTTTCTAGACGGTCTAGCCCGGTACCGCGTGAGCCAGGGCGAGCACGCCGTCTCTTTAGATCTGGGCCTCTTCCTGTCAGCCGGATACTTCCACGAGAACTCGGACAAGCGCGACCTGTTCCTGGCCAACACCGTGTGGGACGAGATCTCCGAGGCGGACCTCCACGGATTACTGGACATCTATTGCAACCAGAAGAGCTCGTCGCCGCTACAGAGTCAGGTCGTGGTCGGCATCACGCCACGCACCGCGGAGACCGGTCGCGCCAAGGCCGACTGGATGAAACGGCCCTTCTTCCGCCATCTATCTACCTTGCTCGAGACACCTGCGGAGGGACAGTCAGCGTCTGCGTCAGCTTCTGCGTCGGACCACGGCAGCTCCAACCTGGCGGCCCGGTTCGCGGCGGCCCGGACGACGAGCGAGGCGGTCGAGGTTGCGCTCCAGGCGACGCGGGAGAAGGTGGCGATCATGCTGTCGGTGCCGGTGGACGAGATCGACGTGGACAAAGCGATCCATCAGTACGGGGTGGACTCGCTGGCGGCGGTGGAGCTCCGGAATTGGTTTTCGCGGGAGCTGCAGGCGGAGATAGCCGTGTTTGATATCCTGGGGGGTGCGAGTATTGCGTCGGTGGTGCGATTGGCGGTGGGCCGGGTTGGCGGCGTTGGCGGTGGTGTTCAGGGTGCGAGTACGGCTGACGCTGTGTGATTGTGTTGGACGGAATGCAGTAGTTGAAGCACTATCATGTATGATAGGATAGGAATGCAGTCGGCTAATTGCCGTCGGATATTGAAGTTGTGCTGGGAGTTGTAGTCGGCCTTTGACGGCTATTGAAGTAGGGTCTGATCCTCACTTCCACGGATACTAACTTTCCCCATGGGGAATACTTCCCAATTCGTAAATGAAGTATACACTCCCTGCATCCAGCATCAACAACCTCTATAAGAACAAGCAGAACAACAACCCACATACACACAACACATAGCATCAACCAACCCAGTCCCTCCTCCCTTGCAAAAATCCCCCAGAAACCCCTCACCCAAAACATCCAACCATGCCGAAACCCAAAGTCCTCCACCTGGGCGACCCCATCCAATACAACCACGACCTCTACGCCCGCTTCGCCGCCAACTTCGACGTGATCCGGCCCCCGACCGCCGAGCGCGCCCGCCCGGAATTCAAGCGCGCCCTGCAGGAGCGCCGGTGGGGCAGCTTTGACGCGATCCTCCGGCCCTTCTGGAACACGGGCGGCGAGATGGGCAACTGGGACGAGGAGCTGATCGCGTTGCTGCCGGAGACGGTCAAGATCATCGCCAGCGCGGGGGCCGGGTATGACTGGGTGGATGTGGAGTGTTTAGCGAGATACGGTATGCCCCCCCCCCCGGCCCAGTACGGGTTATATAGATTGCGCTCCGCTTCAATCATCCCTCCCTGCCCCCTTTCCCCGTTTCCCCTACCCTACCCCGTGCCCCAACACACAAACCCCAATACTAATGACTGGGTGATTGGATGAAGGAATAACCTACTGCAACGGCGCCGCGGCGTCCAGCGAATCCGTCGCCGACGCCACGCTCTTCCTCATCCTCTCCGTCTTCCGAAACCTGCGGTGGTCGCACGCGGCCGCGCACAGCCTCTCGCCGATCGCCTTCCACGACGCGCACACGCACTCGCCGCTCACAGCGCGGAACCCCTCCACCCAGACGCTGGGGATCGTCGGCCTGGGGGCGATCGGGCTCACGATCGCGCGGAAAGCCCGCGCCGCGTTCCCGGGGATGCGGGTCGTGTACCACGATCTCGTGCGCAAGGCGCCCGAGGTGGAGGGGAGTATCAACGCGACCTTCAGCGAGACGCTGGACGGCGTGCTGGGGCAGGCGGACTGCGTGGTGCTCGCGACGCCGTTCGCGGGGCGCACGGTGATTGACGGGCCCACGCTCCGCAAGTTCAAGAAAGGGGGGAGGTTGGTGAATATCGCGCGGGGCGGGTTGGTGGATGAGGAGGCGCTGGTGCAGGCGTTGGAGGAAGGGCGGATCAGTGCGGTGGGGATGGATGTGCACGCCCGGGAGCCGGCGGTGCATCCGCGGTTGGCGACGGATCGGCGGGTGATGATGCTCAGCCATAATGCCGGGGGCACGGTGGATACGCATGTGGGCTTTGAGCGGTTGGCGATGGAGAATGTGCTCGGGTTTTTGCTGCGGGGGAGGGCTCTGACGCCGGTGAATGCGCATTTGATGCAGAGTGAGAAGGGTGAGAAGGTGAGGAGTTTGTTGTGATGATGGTGGATGGAAATAAGGGAGTTATAGAGAGAAATCTAAATTATTGTTCATCTTCTTTTTTTTTCCTTTGGCGGCTCTATAGGTATAAGTACAAGTACGAACATGAAATCAAACCTCTGGCCACACGCCAGCCGACGCCGATTCATTAACACACAAGCGCACAGCACATACATCCACATTTAGGTGGTGCATCACTCGTTGTAGTGGTATACCTAGCATCAGTTAGCACTTGCTCCCACATGTCGTCCGGGGCCTGGGGGAAGCACATACGAAGTAATCCGGCAACCCAAACACCTCGTACCCCAACCGCTGCGCCATCTTGGCGAACCCCTCCGTCTCTACCAGATGATAGAACGGAAACGCCGGGAACATCGCCCCGTCGCGGTGCACGTCCGCCTTGACCATCAGCGCGGTCCCGCCCACGCCATCCAGCCGGATCTCCCGCCCCGGTTGCGGGTAGTCCTTGTTGGCCAAGTAGGCCATGAGACTGCGGTAGGTGGGCAGCTCCGCGTAGCCCTCGAGCAGGATCTCGTCGGGCCCCATCGTGTCCGCCAACTGCTGCGCCGTGGCGCTATCGATCCACGAGTTGAAGTCGTACGGCCGGACGTCCATCTTCTTGGCGTCCTTGTTGTAGTAGCGCTGGAAGCAGTTCGGCACGATGACGGGGCGGTCGTGGCCCGTCAGATCCTGGATGAGCGAGGGGGGCGTCTCGATGATGTCCGAGTCCAGCCACAGCACCCACGAGGTGGCGGGCCCCAGCGTCGTGAACAGCAGGCTGTTGCGCGCCAGGCTCATCGACTCGCGGCGCGCCTTCTGGTTCTCCAGCTTGTGCCGCTCCTTCTCGTCCTGCGACTGCAGCGGCGGCTCGAAGTCCTGCCGCAGGATGCTGACGCTGGCGAACCGGTCGGCCACCGGCCCGTTCTGGGTGACGCTAATCGCGTGCTCCAGCGCCGCGACCGCCGCGTTGCCGTCCTTCGTCTTGGGCACGATGAACCCGACCGAAATCAACTCGTGCGGGTAGCTCAGCGCCACCACGTTGTCCCAGTATTCCTGGTAGAACCGCGCCAGCGGCGTCAGGATGAGCACCCGCTCGCCTTTCCGCGCGGCGTCGCTGGTGCTCGTCAGCGCGTTCAGGTTGTAGTGTTCCACCGGCGGCGCCGCGGCGTGGCCATCCTCGCGCACGGCCTGGGATTTGAGGAAGGGTTTCGTCGGGGGTGATAGCGGGTGCTCGGCCGCGTCTTCGCGGCGGAGTTGTGAGGAGTCGAGGTCGGGGGGTGCGTTACCGGCGGCCGCAGCGGCGGCGGAAGGGGATGGGGAGAGCAAGAAGCACAGGAAGCCGAAGGCTAGCAAAGCCGCCAGTAGCAAGGTGATGGGACTAGTGCGACGCATGTGGCGTGCCGCGGCCATCGTAGCCAAGCCCGGCTCAACTGCAAGAAAGATTAATTTGCGATGGGAGTTGCAGGGGGGATTGTCGTTCCTTTCTCGTATTCGAGGGATAGCAGGGAAGCTAAGTAAGCGATCAAGGTGGTTTTGCAGCGGTCGGTCGATTCGGAGCTGGGTCGACGCACAGGATTCGGGTGATTCGGTGGCTTGGTCTGGGCCCGATAGGATGTAGGTACGGTACGAATTGGCAGCGGAGATTTAACCAGCAAGAGGATGAAAAGAAATCACCAACCGTGCCCCAAACATACTGTAGAGAGTGAGTGGAGAGAGTTGGTGGAGTTGGGGAGCGTGAGGGGGGAGAGAGAGAAGAGAAGGTGAAGAACTGCGATGATGGAAGAAGATGTGGTCGGGTTTAATGGCAGGCTGCCGGGAAACGAACTGGACGCGCGGACCGAATCCAGTGCTCGTTAAGTTAGTTACTGTGTAGGTACGGTAAGTAACCTAACTTAGAAGATCTGCATCCAGCTAAAAGATGCCAAGCCAGGCTTGTTCCCAGCCGTTGCATTGGGACCAGATCGCGCCGCATGCGGCCGTTGCACTGCAGAACTGCCATTGCTGCCATAACTGCTGCCATGATTAAATTCATGGTTCTATTCGAGTTATTCTAGATGTGTCTAGTCTAGTCTAGTCTAGGTAGTGTCGTTAAAGCGCATTTATAGTACCGTGTACTATACCCATTCAAGGCAGCGACCGCATCACCCCCTCGAATGCAACCAGAGCCATGGCATTCGCCGGGAATGCTCGCAAGAAACACGGTACAAATCCCCTCCAGTATCCTTTCAATCCTCGCTCGCGATACACCGCGACCGCCGCATCTTTCCACCGCCGGAACTTTCGCTCCCCGTCCCCAAGGGCCCCGCCCATCGGGTCCGTCATCAGCCGTTGCTTCACCACGTCCGACGGATACGAAGTCAGCCAGAAAATCTGCGCCGAGATTCCACCCGCCCAGAAATTGATCGCGGGCGCCGACAGACTGCTCTTCTCTTTCAACATCCGCGTCAGAACATCGTAAGAACCCCACCAGAAGAAAAAGAACGCCCGGAACACGATCGTGGCGCAGAGTCCGCGATAAAGTCCCGAGATTCCATGCGTTCGAAGCTACCAGAAACACAAAAGTCAGCACACTTCCCGTGTCCACGACAACACCAGCAGCGCATTGAAGCGGGTAGCGAGTGATTATAGCCCTTACCAATTTCCGCACGCAGTCAATCGGGCCCGAGTACATGCGCTTCGTCTTGTCCGCCGAATACTGAATCTGCAGTCGCGCTTTGACGTGTTCCACCGGCGCCGCGATGAAGCTGACCGTCGTCCCCGCCATGATGCCCGCGATTCCGTGGCCGAAACTCGGGAGGGTGGTGGGATCGGTCTGGCGACCGCTGAAGGGTGTCATCGCGCGTATGTGCGGCTTCGAAAAGACATTCTCGAGTAGTAGGCGGCGGTATAACGTCAACGACCCCAGCATCCTGAACGACGATGGGACATGGTCAACATTCGGTGGTCCTATGGTTTAGGCTTTCGAAATCATCACAACAGGACTTACACCGAATCCATCACCATCCATCCGACCAGCGGCGGCGTGGCTCCTTTGTATAACCCGCTTACTCCCTCCTTGCGCACCGTCTGTAGTACACAATCGACCGGACCGCGGAAGTGTGATTCATGGCTGGTTTGTAGGCGTACTTTGACCGTATCGAACCTGCGATCGTCGACCAACAATTAATCCTGCGAAATGGGGTTCTCGGGTGGAGGGTAAAGAGACGTACGGATGTCCAACTAGGAAGCAGCAACGGCGAATTAGTTTGTCTCTTCTAGCAGCGCCAAACGCGGATATTTGAAAAATACGTACCTGTTAATTTTGCGATTCCGGAGAACACGCCCGCAACAAATCCCTTGTAATCGCGCTTCGAGCTCGTAGAGGGAGGGGGCACCCCGCTCTCTGTGCCGGCCTTGGCCATTTTCTGTGAGGATGGGCGCTCCGCCAGACTGGTTGTTGGCGAGGCGACAGGACTAGGATTTGATGACATGGGCGGCGGATGCTTCTGAGTGTGAGGGAGGTTCAATCTTCGAATGTAAGGCCAGTGAGGCAATCCGAGTGGCTGCACCTGGCCGACAGGTATAAAACTCGATCGGGGTGTGCGTTTGGGGGTCCGTTATCGGACTACAGGATTGAGGATGGTCTAATAGATTCGAATGTCGTCCATGGATTGCGAGAAATACAAGGAGATCAATATCACAGCTCGAAGTATCAGTAGACAATCTATGCAGTTCCTCTGGAGTTGGAGGGAGAAGGGATGCAGTCGTGGGGAAAGATGAAAAAAGATGGGGGAGACAAATAAGATGAGGAACAATTGATTGAAGATGCGGCCCCGCAAAATCCGGCGGCTCGGGGAGTTGCAAGCCAGCTCCGGGCGGCAAAACTGCCGGTCGACACCTCGGGGTGGCTACGCTTTCCGCATCAGTACTAGTACAGTACATATACCTTACGGTGATAGTCGTCTCAAGACCAATGATCGATAAGGATACCAATTTCAATAGATAGAATGCTTGAAACATTGATCGCGGTCAATTTCTATTCCTATTTCAGTCTAGCCACGAGGAAGACAGTCTGTTTCTGTACAGTCCCCGGTAAAGTGAAGCTGAAGGTGAAGTAGATGTAATCTCGAGAAATCGAGAGAACTCCGAGAGAGGAGAAAATGTAAGCAACGGAAAAACCAGAAAAAGTTCGTGTGTAACACAGTAGCCGAAAGAAAAGAGTTGAAAATGTCTGGGTTTGGCGATATGGGGTATAGGCGCATGATCTCATAATACACGAGAAGACAAAAGAAAATGAGAATGAAAATGCAATATGGAGGAAATCAATTTCTCGCGATGATGTGGCTGTTCAGTAGCCCTTCAGCCCTTTTCTGGCCTTCTGCCGGGCCCGCTCGGCCTCGCGGGCGATGAGCTTATCCACTGCATCAGGCGCCGGGCCGGAGTAGTGGCTTTCGCGAGCAGTAGGGTCAGTGGTTGTGCCAGAGCCCAGATAGCCACCTGCATCCTCGAGTGCGAGAGGTGTAACTGGTCCAGGGCTGTTCAGCGGGTCGAGACGCGGTGCAGATGGACTGGGTGAGAGTGGGCGTGAGGGAGCTTTGATAAGAATGTTTCCATCCGCCAGGTCTCGCCACATGGAGTCGCGAGAGCCGGCTGACGCACGGTATCCGTGCTGTCGGGGTTGTCGAGGTGATGGAGGCTGCGCAGACAAGGTCTGAGAGGTTCCAGAGGACTGATAAACAGCGGGATGGAACCGTGGCAAGCTTCCCAGATGAAAGGCTGGGGCTGGTTTGGATGAGTTTCCGCCACGGGCGCGCGATGGCTGGGGGGAAAGAGGGCGACCAGCTGACGACATGGCAGGAGTAGCGACCGGCGCGTACAATGTCGAGCTATCAGAGCGCATTCTGGACGGTTCAGAGAAGTGTGAACGATGCCCTGGACGAGATGGTCTTGTATGGGTTGGCTTATCACGATTTCTCTCGATGTGCTCACGGTGGGCGAAGTAGTAGCCCTTGTCAAAGCGTCCGGTCAACGGGGTCACGGGAAAATCGTGATCGTGCGTGATATGGGATGGCTTTGGTATAGGTATCGGACGAGATGCAGAGTGGTTGAGATTGAGACCCGCGAAATAGTCTGTGGTTTCCGAGACGGGTGACTGGGGGGACGGCGGACTATAAGTCGACGAGGTGGCCGTTAATTCTTCGAGGGATGACAACGAAACTCTGGTGGGGTGACCGTGTCTCGCAATAAGAGTCTCTAGCTGATCTCGGGCACGAAGATTAGAGGGACGTTGGGAAGGCGATAAAGGCAACGAGAAAAGATTGGCTAAGAGCACGCGATCAGCATGAATCATTGGGAATGTGCAGAACAAGCGCAGAGCCAAATGCCACACGTGTCCGGCGGGCGTAATCTTGATCTCTGCCCACAAGTGAAGCTGAAACAATGAAACAGGTCATCGAAGGGTCAGTTGGTATAGAAGAAGAATGCAAGCAACCCAAAAAGGAGAGTGCATTCCACTAGTACTGTAGGAGGGGGGTGGTGGGAAGATCTGCTGGCACAAGGTGGGGCAGAAGGATGATTTGACAGAAGGCGCACGACGGACGAGTGAACGACCGAAGTCGAAGAAGAAGGACTTACCACTGGTCAATGGTGGGGAGTGAATTGAACTGTAGGAGGAGGACGGATAGAGAGAGGGCAAGGAAGATGCAGATGAGGAGGAGGCTGAGGGGGAGGAAGGCGGAAAGGCAGCCATTGAGGGTTTTATTCTGGAGATTTGATTGTCTGTCCCTTTTCGTACCGTAATTCTCTTGGGGCGTTTCTGTTCCCTGTTCAAATTAAATCCCGCTTTTTTTTTGTTCCAACCAGTACCGAGAGTGGGTTCAACGGTTCAACCGATGGGATGGGATGATTTGGATCCAGGCACCCCGGATGCCTTCTCCTGACAGCGGCTCTTCGCTGCCAAGTCAGGCAACCGACTGACTGTTTTGCCTGATGGTATTCTCTATGCAGGGTCCGTTGTTGTTGTTGGTGGTGTTGTAGTTTGTACAGTAGATATATTGGAGGTTGTCCCAGGATTACGGATACTATTTCGACTTGAATCTTGTCCTCGACCGAGGGGGGGAGGAATTTTCACGCAGGGGAAAAAAAGAAAAGTTCGGGTGTGTGTCTAAATTGATCGTCAGCTTGCGGGGAAACCCAAACAAAGTTGACAAACGTAAGAAAATCAAGACCCAAAAAAAGCCCATGGCGTCATGGCGGGAGACGCGGGAATCCATTGTTGAGGGGCAGGCGGGTAACTCATGGTACGGTATGTATGCATCTTGGATCATCATAAAAGGAGGGTTCCACTTCTTTCCGTTGTGCTGCTGCTGCTGCTGCTGTTGCTGCGATCTGCCCTCCTTCATGTCGAAGGAAGTACTCTCCATACCAATAGTGTTTGTATGAATCAGGGAAGTCGGCCAAGAAACAAACGAGAGATGCAGCAGAAAGGAAAATCTCATGCACGACCTACCGATCAAGTTCCTATCTCATTTGGGTGTTGGTTGCGTATGGCATCAACGATTGGTTCCTGTGGAACCGACGGGCGCTAGTCACAATCGGGCTAGCCTTCAATGACTCTGAGCTGGTAAGATTGGAAGGTTGTGTAAGATGGAAACAACTTTGTCGATGGAATGACGCCAAGTTGGCTCCGGTTATTGGAGTACACAAGCGAGGAATGGTAGGTAGGTAAGTGAAACAACGAAGAGGGGAAAGAAGAATGGTAGGTGAGGCTAGTGTGGGTGGTAAAATGATGGCTGGTCACACCTCATGTAAAACAAATATTTAGTATGGTGGGAACAATAAGGAGGAAAGAATAGGCTGATTGACAACGCATGAGGGGGTCTTGGCAGGCCTGAAAAGGATTCATCGGTCGTGTTTCAATTCAAGCAGGTATCCAAATGAGTATGTAGGTACAGTACATAAGTGAAATACCTCAGGCAGCCAGGCGGGGTTTGACTAAGCGGAGGCAGGGCGGCGATTGAGTTAAGTAAGAATAGTGAATATGTACAGTACTTCGTACTCCGTGCAGTACTCGTACTTTGTAGATCGTTGTCGGAGAGTTTGTACGACAGAATAAGTGGCCAGATTAGTCGTTCCCTGCATGGGGCTCGGATCAGTTTATAACCTTGAAGATTGCTGCGGAAGGATCCATTTTCCTCCCGCCTGATGCCTCCTCGTTCTGTCGTTAAAACCTGCTGCAACCACACGCGGGAAACTCGGGTGACCTGACCTGTTAGTTCTACCACTATCACCAAAAATAATCCGAGTCAGGACACCGCTTCATCCACAAGGGTGAAGAGTGACTACGGTTGGAAAAACGACGATCTCTCGCGCCGCCCTTAGTCTGGCCGACCGAAACCGTTTGGTCTCAGGCGAGTCTAGAGTGAGTGACCAGCTTACCTTCTCGTTTCGTCTGGGTTGGCTCGTTCTAATCACATCCTGATATCAGTACCACCTCTGCCGATCCAGATGTATTCAACCTTGAAAGGCTATTGGCTGCCGGGGGCTATCACACATTGTTTGTGGCTGATAATGAAGACGGGGGGAGAGGATCATGCAAGCCATTGTCCATTGTTGACAACCCGCGACGATATCCGCGTGTCGTAACCCCAGATCCGAGCAGTTCAGACTGCACAGTCGATCTGCAGCTATCTGTGCCACTATAGACTGGGTTATCACTTCGGACGGGTGGGGAGGACGGGACTTAGGGCTGGAACTTTTTTCATCCTTCTACCAGACTCCTAACTGGGTTGAGAGGGGAGGTTCGATGTGATGGTGCAAGGATATGTCCCCAGCACCATCAATACCGGGCGAGCTTAAGAGAGTGTCTTGCGTCCGACATTCTGAGTGGAGGACTGGGGCCATCCACACGGGGCAGCACGATCAGCCGACTTGAATCAAATCCCCCCCTCCACCACCGGCTTGCGCGCTTCACATTACTAATTCAGCAGGGCATCTTCAATAGTCCTGAGTCGTCACCTTTTGAGAAACAAGTCTGTGAGTCACCGCAACCTTGCCCACAGACACCTCTAGATTGGTGAGAAGACCCCAAATGGTTTATTCTACTGAGTAAAGGGAAAGACTGACGCTCATCCATCATCCGCCCGTGAAACTACAGATAAACACCTTGACTGTAAACCATGTCACTACTCGTAGAGATTTGATCGATCCGGATGGGGCGGAACACCCTTGATCAAATGTGCAGGCATCAGCATAAAAAACCTAGCTCGCACATCAAAAGATCGCCCGGCCACAGGACCTTCGCAAAACTTCTTGTAAGATGATAACTGGTGTCTCTTCGGGAGATCGACTAGACTGAGTAATCCTAGCTATAAGGGCTTCTGATGAGCTCAAGTATAACAATACATGTATTGATGACTCCGACACCGATGGAATCACGCGCCACCGAGGCAATCTATTCCGCAACACGCCACACAACTGTCTTGTCCACTGTGACTGGAACTGCCCCTGCCCAGCTCATCGATGTACACTGTTCTCCGACCTGCGTCACTCGCTAATGTTACGCTTTCTGTCACACCTTTCCGCTGGAACTAGCTATCAAATAATATATGTCGCCCCTCATTCATTGGCGCCCTGGAAGATCGTTTCTGCAGGTCTCCAGATTCGGAAATATGACCATGTAAGTCGCTTGCCTGCCTCCTCGACCATCTTCACAGAGCACTCCTACCATCAACTGGAGTCAGTTGCGCAGTTCAGTAGTATCGACTTGACTTGAGTAAGTTCCAAGTTGCCAACCCCACACGCAACCGCGGGAAAATAGACCAACCATTCAAGTCGTAGGACAATCCCCACCCCTTCCCCCACCCTTCCCCACCCTTACAGGCGCATTCCCTCGGCGATGATTATATAACCCATCTTTTAGGTAGTAGTGTGTTCATCATCCATACAAAGTAGTACAAGTAAAGTCCGACATTCAAGTCCCGAGGACCTGCACTAGTTTCGCACCCCTCCTGGAGGAGCAGGGGCCACTTCGCTTGTTCCTGTGATCAATTCTGATCCCGGCAACACTATACCTAGTTGCGTTATAAGCCAATTGCATGCACAGGAGTGGATCAACGGGTAGGAGCGGATAAGCGGAGAACGGAAGTTGGTTGTGGCTTTGACACTTTTCCAAGGCCCCAGTCCATGGTAGCCAATTACTCAGTATCCAGAGACCAGAGCCATACGTATAACTGTCTCAATTGCATTCATGTGCGATGACGGAATGGCGCGTGGTGCTTTCTTACCTGGATATAGACATTGTAGTCTTTTGCTCCCTGACACGGCTATAAGGTTTTGCGCTATGGGGAAGATTGTTCTACTATTAAACTGAATTGCTGTGGAAATCTAACAACTTTCTCTTTCTATTTTAGGCCGAACTTGGCACTGCTTTTTGCTTACTGAGCGGCCCGAAGCGTGGAAAAAATACAGAAGTATATATTCTAAGTTATTTTTAAGTAATCCCGGATTACTCCAAGAATAAATACTAGAAAAGTAACTATTATACTAAATTTTTATTGAAGTTTATAGAATTTAGTTGTATTATTTTAAATAAAATGTATATTATTAATAAGATATATCTTATTTTTGTCTTACCGGCGTGTGTATTATTTATCTAAAGATTAGATATAACGAATAGATTAATAACTATAGAGTAATTTATAATATATATATTCTTTTTATATAAATAATATATAAAATATAATATATATTTAATTATAATATGATAATATTTTTTAAATATAATTTATTACTTAATCTTCTCGACCGGTTGTTTTAAAAAGTATATTATATTTTAAAAAAGACTTTTATAGAATTTAGTATAGAAGAAATAAAAAAAGACATATAATATTAGATTTAATATATAATTATCTAATAAATAAAACTGATTAAACTGATTAAACTATATATTTAAAGTCTGGATTTTAGTAAAAAGTCTAGACTTTATATATAGTTAAAAAAAACAGCCGATGTCACGGAGCACCTTCGGGTACGCATTCCAAAGGATAACCGTTGCACCATTGGCAAAAGGACTAGGATGTAAAGCCGATGGCTTTACACTGCGTACGCTATATAAGGTTGCATCGATACAGGATTCAGGCAGGATTCAGGCAGACAGGTACTCTCAGTGGTTCTTCAGGTATTCTTAGTTCTTAGTGGTTCTTCGGATTCGGGGTCAACGGGAGCCTCTTGCTCACACCGTGACAACTTTCTTTTATATATTTTTCAGTAATATTTCAAATAGCTAGATTAATAACTATTTTATTTCAGTATATTTTAATTATATTAAAATTAAAAAAGATATCATAGATAGATTTTAATATTAAGAATAGTTAAAATAATTAACTATCCAGTCTTTAACTATACTACAGTTAAATATAAAAACTTTCTTAATCTAACTATAATCTGGCGGTCAGGTATAAAAATTCTAATTAACCTGACCTGACCTGGCCGTTAGCCACTCTAGTTTAGAAAGAATAAAGAAAGTAGAGGGAGTTGAGAGAGTTGGTAGAAGAGCAGATAAGTAGGCTTACCAGCTTACACTGTGACAGGTCTGTTATATATAAGTCTGCTTCATGGCAGCCGATTCTGCCAAACATACTTTGTTTAGATGATTCCGCTGTGTATAACAATCCCCGGTCTCGCTTGATCTATAAAACAAGGACTATATTTATAATCTTTACTCATTAATCATGACATACACTCTCATCTGCTGTGACGGTCACACAGGTTTAGCTACTCTAACCTGGCCTGACATAGCTGTTAGCCACCTTACCCATAGTCTACCAAAGTGCTGGCTGTGGAGGAGCCTGTTATTGTCCTCAACCTCGCACCATCATTGATCAGCTCTTGTCCAATCAGGTGAACATACGTGGGTCAAGTATATCGTGACTGAATAGTATACGTCAGACATAGAAACATGGGGGGCTGATAGCGGGTGTGTGGAAGCATCACAACCGGACTATCTCGTCAGGGTCTAGACCCCCGGTGGTCGCTACGGTGGCATTCGGAGGTCTAATGCTACTCACTCGGTACAGAGGCAGAGTAGTGCTGCCAACCATGTTTACCACCAAGTATCACCTCTTCACCAGGTCCGCTCACCTGAAAATGGTTCTTATTCCACCCCCCTCGCATCAACCGCTAACCATACTATCTACAACCCACTCCCTCCCGACCTCTCCCGACCTCTCCCGATCTCACGCCAGTACCTGTAGACACCATGGCTTCCTCGCGAATCGTCGAGCTGGCGACCCGGATCAGCGAGAACACCGCGATAGTGGACGCCTACCTTCGCGAGAACCAGCTTCCATCTCCATCGTTCGACGAAGACGGCCCGGTGGACTTCGCCATCCAGAGCGAGGAGGTGAAGAAGGCACAAGAGGATGCAATTGCCCTCTCGTTTGAGCTCCACCAGCTCCTGCTGGGCCCCTCCCACTTCCTCCGTCCGGTGGTAAGTGCTCTGGCGCGACGGCGATCAGGACTGACTGCCTGCCTGCCTGCCTGCCTGCCTGACTGACTGACCGGAACCTCCAGCCAAATGGCCTGAGCCTGCAGGCGATCTCCAAGCATGACATCGCGACCAAAGTCCCGGTGCATGGCAAGATCTCCTATGCGGCCCTGGCCCAGCAATGCGGGCTGAGCGAGATCAACACCCGACGGTTTGTGCGGTACGCCATCGTCCACCATCGGGTCTTCTGTGAGCCTCAACCGGGTTACGTCGCCCATTCCGCCGCCTCGCGGCTGCTGGCTGAGGACCCCGTCATGCGCGATGTCCTGTCGCATTATCTGGAGGAGTGCTTTCCCTCCTTCGCCATGGTACGTCTGCCATCTGCCATCCGCCATCACTCTTCCTTCGGCAACATGATTTGACTGAGGATCCGGGACAGACCTTGCGGGCTATTGACCAGTTCAAAGATAGCGGTGAGCCCAACCAAACGGTAGGCGACTTCTCAATTCGGTCCGATGCCCGATCACGATGCCCTAACCGTGCCACAGGGCTGGAACCTCTACCACGAAACCCAAGACGCCCCTTGGGACTACTATGAAACCCACCCCGCGATGGCCCGCCGCTTTGCCAGCACCATGGCCTACGAGACGGAACGCGAAGGGCGATCCAGTAACGTCCTGGTGGAAGGGTATTCCTGGACCTCCCTCCTGGCCGAGACGACGGCGACCACAACGAGCCCAATGGTCGTGGACGTAGGGGGGTCCCGGGGCAAGACCGCGCTGGAGATTGCGCACGCCCACCCGGAGCTCACGCTGCTGGTGCAGGACCTGCCCTCCATGATCGAGGGCGCCCGCGACCAGCTGCCGGCCATCCCCGCGCGCGAGCGGGTACAGTTTATGGCCCACGATTTCTTCGCCCCGCAGCTTGTCCCGGCCGACGCCTACATTCTGCGCCATGTCTTCCACAATTGGTCGGATAGCAACGCCGTCCGCATTCTCCGCGCCTTGGTTCCGAGTCTGCGGCCGGGGGCCCGACTGATCGTCAATGATTACATCGCTCCCGTGCCCGGGGTCTTGAGTCTCGCCAAGGAGCAACGGCTGAGGTAGGGTTCTCCGTTCCTCGGTTGGGACGTTTTACGCTCTGCGATCCCCCCGTCAATGCTGACATTCGTTAGGGAAATGGACCTCATCATGTTGACCCTCTGCAATGCATACGAACGCGAGGAGCAAGACTGGAAAAGGCTGTTCCAGGAGGCGGATCCCCGATTCCACGTTCGAACCATGTCGGTGCCCAAGGGGGCGACGGAGGGGATTATCGAGGTGATCTGGGAGGGTTGAGATGCTCGGTCTGCAGACGGCGACTGCCTCGCATACCACTCCAATTGTGCGAATTACTCGAGATTCTTCGTTACATTGACTATCGACTATGCTTTTACCTTTGGGCCCACACATGGAGCACACACGTAACACTCCCCAAACCCACCCTTGCGTACCCGACCTGTAAGAGGCAATCCCGCCGGAATCGGTGGGTTGCATCAACCGGCCGATCCTGCTCAGCCCATAGATAACCCTAACGGTGGCAGTAGTGGCGCAGATGCGACCTTGGCGTGATCCAGGAGTGATTCCGGTGGAGGCTCGGGCAGGACGAAGGATCTTTAGATCTCGCACATAGAATGTATTGCTACTATCTTCTACTGGTACTCTAGAGACGGTCTGCACTCAAGCGAAAGTAGCGGCTCTGGGAGAGGATGACATTGTACCACTCTGATAGTTGGATTTTTTTTTCTCCACTGTTCCCTTTGCCCTCGCGTTTAGCAGCGGACGAAAAGGCCTACGTCGGGATGTGCATAGGAAAAGGGCAAGCCTGTGCTGCGTTGTTCATCGATACCGTCAATCACCCTGCGCTCCGCTCTTCGCCCAGACCTACGACCAATGCTCTTCCGCCAACCATGTCCACCACTACCTGAATATAGATCTCCAGGAGGGCCTGGAGCCCGAGGAAATCCTCAATCGGAAGCAAAGCGACTGCGCTTCCGCAACGCCGGCCCCAACCAGTACAAGGTGAACATGCCTCCGACACAGCCGACGGTCAGCCCGGCCAACAATGTGGTGCCGCGGGCGACGCCCAACCGGTCATACAGGGGGTCCGACCACATGATGGCGGCGAAGGCGAGATAGGCCCGGGCCAGATCATTGATGGCAAAGAGGCTGGCGCTGTAGCGCAGATAGGCGACGGCGACGTAGCTGAAGACGCACTGGATGACGAGGCTCATCCCGGCGACCTCGAGCACGAGACCCACGGTGGGAACGAGCCAGTGGATGTCGGGACGCGCGGTCCAGGCAAACAGGAACAGGCCGACGGGCACCAGCACGCTGCCGCACAGGGCGGGCACGAGACGCTTTTCTGGACGCGGCCACACACCACGTCGGAAGTCCGCGTTCAGCGACCAGTGCGTGAAGGCGAAGTAGCCCGGAAGCACCAGGAGCGTGCCGACAATCGCCCCCAGGAAGATCAGCCCCAGTTGGCCCAGCGTCATGGCGTGCATGGTGATGTACACTCGCGGCAGCACCTCGAAGTAGCTGTAGAAGATGGCGTATACCAGTCCGATGTAGACGGTGGTGAAAAGGATCGCCGGGTCGAGCGCGTTGATCTTCCACGGAATCACGAGGGCGTCGTAGACGATCTGCGTGGGCCTCGCGTCGCGCACGGCGATTTCGGATTGCGACTGGAAGGCGGGATTGCCGGTGAGGGCCCGGAGGCGTTTGGCGCGCAGGTGCAGGATGGCCGGTCCGGAGGTTTCGGGGAGGAACAGCTAGAATTGCCATGATTAGTGACCTCGGTCACTGTCTCGGATGGGGTCATTGGTCATTCAACTCACCAGAAAGACAAAGCACCCCCCGGCGGCCCACAGGACCTCCCACATCGACCAATGCCACCCCTTGACGGGGACGCTGAAGCCCGCAATGACCGGCGCCACCGCGGGGCCCGCAATCGAGCAGACAGCCCAGACGTAGAGGCCGTAGGGCAGGTTCGTTAGCCCCGTCACGTCCGCGATGGAGGCCCCCCCCGTGGCCAGACCGGGAGAACCAAAGAACCCCTGTAGAAATCGTAGGATCAGAAATCCAGGGACGTTGTTCACCAACGCGGTGGGAATGCTGAGCAGCAAGAAGATGGTCACTGAGACCACATAGGGCGGATTGCGGCCAACCGAGGGGATTTCCGATAGAGGGCTCCAGATCATCGGCCCTGTCCCGTAGCCCAGCACATACAGCGACATCCCCAACTCGGTCACCGAGCGCGAGACCCCGAAGACGGTGCGGAACTCCCCCTCCGCGGCGGAGAAGATGGCCACCGACATGTAGACCATGAAGGTGATGAGATTCACCTCCAGGTACACGAGCAGCTTGGCCCCAAAGGACCAGTTTTGCGGGTTGTCTGGGTCTGTGCTCGAATACCAACCGACCTGGATCGCTCCTTCGGCGGTGATTTGGGGTTCATTCCATGGAGGTCGTGTCGCTGGCTCAGGTGCCGGCTCGTCGGCTGGCTTTTCCTGCTCCTGCTGCTGCTGCTGCTGCTGTTGCGGCTGCTGATCGGTGGTGAAATGCGCTTCTGAGCCTGTGGTGGGTGGTCTGTTATGTTCTGACACTTATCGGACGGGTTGGTACAACCTACTGCCACCGGACCTCGACTCATTCCGAACGTGATTCTTCTTCTCCCGCGCTTCCAACCCGCCCTCCTCATCCCTCTCCGATCCCGTCAGTGAGCTCGACCCGACCGGCAGAACCGTGCGAGTGGCGGCGAGCCGATAGGGAGGAGGCAGCTTGAAGCCGGGCTGCTGTTCGGTGGGTGGCAACAGACGCCCTCCTGACAGCCAGCGCCCAATCAGTCCAATAGGGGAATTGGTGAGTAGATGAGCCATCTGAGACCGACGGTCCGGAACGACAGCGCAGGGTGAGTCTAGAAAGGCGAGGGGAAAAAGACCAGGAGGTCCCTCTCCCAGGGCAATCAGTTCTGGCGGTGTCTCTACACTCCTGGCACCATGCAAGGGGTTCCGGTCCTGCCGTCCGTCCAATAGGCCAGTGTCACAGATTCCACCCCATCTCCAGGAATGCGGCCTTTGGCAGGGTTACGTTTGGTAAGTATGTAGTATGCTGTCATGACGCAAGGTGGACGGAGTAACCCGAAGAGAATTCCGCTGTCCAATGATTGTAAAGTGTCAATGTAGGATCACTAAGGTTAGGGTTGACCCGACTGCCTTTTCAGACCCACAGCAATCACTGCTGAGTTGACATGATGACACTGGCAGGCGGGCTTGAGGTACGGAATGCTATCCAGACCGGGTTCGTCCAAGGGTTGGGATGCTCTCATCCGGACGGTGAGATTCAGTGACCAGAGACGAAACGCAATGGGCTCTACTGTCAGAGACCGACCTTGACGGATAATAGCTGTCAAGACCGGCCTTTCTTGTTTGCAGGATTTTGCATTTAAGCCCTACATGCCTCAAACTCCCTACATTGACACGGACGCACACTTCTCGACGAAAGCGTTCACATTCTTCAAGGACGTCTCATAAATTCGAGGCCAGTACCTATAGCCCAACTAAAGAGTAAACGTACGCAACACGCATAGCCATTCTCCCATTCCCGCTGCCCCCAGTCTTCCTAAAAAGAATTCATTGGAAACCGAATCGATTGCTCGAGCTAAAACTCCGTCCGTAGACCCTCCTCCAAGGCGCCGTGCTTCTGGTCATGTTTAATATCATCGGCGATCTTTTCCGCCACCATATCTAAATCAGACGGGAAAAGAAACAAGCACCCCCAAGAGTTAGTCTTCATCATTTCCTCACAGAGGTAGTGAAGGAGTCGGAACCACACTTACAAACCACGCCGAGAGGAAGTCCCGGAGGTAGGAATCGGAAGACGGAAGCGTCTGCAATGCGCACTATTGGTTGCCCCCGCTACGTGAGCACCTGTCCCAGATGTTGCATTCTGGAGATTCACAGAACAGAGGGGAGGAGGCTTACGATTCTTGACACCAAAGACACGACCCTTGGGGTCCACCACTGCGTCCGGGTCTCCCTCCTTGCCCATGCGACACGTACACGCGGGGTGAGACATGGAATTGAAGTTCTTCTTCAGGTAGTCGTGGATCTCGGCGAAGGTCTGAACATCGGGGCCCGGGGCGACCTCCCCCCCGACCAGGACATTGCGCTCGAGGACGGGCATCTGAAGGTACTGGCGGATCCGGCGCACGGCGGCGACGGCGATCTCCACGTCGGTGGTCGACGTCAGCCAGCGCGGATCAATCACGGGACTGTCGTGCATGCTGGGAGAGCGAATCCTGATGTGGCCGCGGGACATTGGAGTCATCAGCGTGCATACGATCATCGCGTAGTTGTAGCCATCCTGGGGAAATCCGACGTCGACGGGGAAAGAAATGAAGAAGCCTTCCGGCCAGTCCTTGGGCAGGCCGGCGAGATCTGTTTTGTTTTTCGTGGGTGAGGAGTCAGTCGATCCGTCTTGTATACCCAGACATTCAACCTATCTAGTTACACCGGGGGGGGGGGAGGGAGTCCTGACCTGCGTGAGTGCTCGCAGAAAAATTGCGGAGCTCGCTGGGAATGTCGGCGAACCCGCCGAAATCGGGCCCCGGGCTCGACAGGATGCCCGCCTGCGCCTCGTTGAACTCCTCGACGGCGTGCTGGCGAGGACCCGCGTACTTCAGGGCGGAGTTGGTCTCGACATCCACGCGGTGGGCGACGCCGAAGCTGATGTGATCCTCCATCTGCTGGCCCACCTTGGGGGCGTCCAATACAACGGGGATGCGAAGCTCCTTGAGCAGGGCGGCATTCCCGACCCCAGAGACCTGCAGAAGCTGGGGGGTCATCAGTCCGCCTGCGGTGAGCACGACCTCCTTGGTGGCCGTGAGATTGAACACGGTCTTCCCGCGGCTGGCCTGCACCCCCGTGGCGGTGCGATCCTGGTCGAAGAGCACTCGCTCGGCCAGCGTGCGGTTGTACAAGAACAGGTTTTCACGGCGGTGGAGGATGGGCTCCAGGAAGGCCTTGGCCGACGAGGCGCGCTGCCCGTCGGTGTGGTTGATCGTGTCCAGCACCCAGCTGCTGCCGAAGAGCTCTCCGGACATGAACCCCCCCACCGGCCGCATGCCGACCTGGTCGAAGGCCTTCTTCACCCAGCTGCTGAACGGCTGCGCGTAGTTGGGATAGGTCACGTCCAACGGACCGCCGTACCCCACGTCGGCCGGGTTCAGCTCCGGGGTCGAATTCGCCCGCCGCTTGTGGGGGTCGATTCCGGTGAAGTTCAGGCTTTTCTGGAAGTACCGCGTCACATTCGCGTACGTCCAGGAGTCATCGTCCACCTCCTCGGCCCACTTCTGCATCGCTCCCACGCTGGTCGTCATATACGCCATCAAATTGAAGGCCGAATTTCCGCCGAGCTGCGGGAAATCCAACGACGGAGACGAGTCAGTACAACGGACCTCCAAAGGACGGTAACCACAGGGTGCAGGGGTGGAAGGCACGGTACCGTACCGTCTTTGCATTGGTATAATGTTTTACCCTGCCATCGGCTCCCTACGCGAGTGGTGTCAGTTCTGTCAGTGCACGACGAGGATGGGAAAGGCCACAGACCGCTTGCGGCTCGGTATCGAATCCCCAGTCCAACTCCGGCGGGATGTGTCCCGTCAGATAGTCGGCGGCGTAGCCCGGGACAACACTGGCATTCGAGACATCCTGGTAGAAGGAACCCGCTTCGACAATGGCCACGGTAACCGAGGGATCCTCGGAGAGCCGAGAGGCGACAGTTAGACCCGAGGCTCCGCCCCCGACGACCACGTAGTCAACGGTCTTCTCGATGGCACCGGGATACCGGGTGGGATCGCGCAACACGTCCGGGCCCAAAGGTGTCTGATACCACGGACCATTGGGGTAGCTGAGGGCCACAGTGGAAAGGGTCCAAGCGGACAGAAGCGCCGTCGTGAATGGAGAGCCAGCCATCTTTCCTGCTGGCGGATACGTTTGAATTTCGTGATGACACTGGACGATGCACGCCGCGCAGCAGTTATAGGAAGCCGGCGAAGGGGTCTAGCCAGTCTGGAGGCATGGTGGTAACATCGGTTTACAACTACAATGAATGGATGGACCGAGTGATGACTGTGTTCCGGGCTCGTCGGAGGTACCTTAGCGCTTCGTCTGCATGAAAGGCAATGACGGACGATGATGTCAGTCAGTGTGCTCTAGTCGATGATGTCTATAGGTGAACAACCGTTCAATCTCGTCAAACGGCAGTGATGATCGTGAGAAGACGTTTGAGAAACCGGTGAGGTGCACCTGTCTGCATCCCATCATGGATGGTGTCTCATTGTAAGATCTGTATCCACGACCATGGGTAAGGATCATATCGAACAGTCTAGAGCAGTGCGCTACAATGGCCTCATAGACGTGACTCAACGACCTGGACACGAAGTATCCAGCGAGCAGGAAATCCCGACCAAAAGACCCAACCCAGCCCTAAGTCGGTCCAGGAAGCTTATTCAACGGGGTGCATTTGGTACGGCTACGCCCGGGGAGGATTTCGCCCCGGGGAAGTTCATTTCTCTTTCGTTTTTTGCGGTCGATTTTAGTCTACAGAGAAAGGATAAATGGTATGGACGGTTCAAGTGGTGGAAAAACGAAAACTGGATTGCGCCAAACTAGGAGCGACTGGGTAGTACCATTGCTTTCCGCGCCACCCGACAGACGCACCGAACTAGCTACCACCTAGGAATGAGACTGCTAATTGGGCAGCAAATTCAACCACTTCTTGAACACATTATTCGGATCATACTTGCCTTTCAATTGCTGCAACCGGGGCAGGTTCTCGCCGAAAACATCCTTTACCCGGCTGTCGTGGTGAGAATAATTGGCATAGGCGCGGGCATGCGCCCCGGCACCGGCGCGGTCACCGACCTTGCGCATCATCGCCTGCTGCATCGACCGCATGGTCTGGTCCAGACCGGGGTTCTCCCACCGGAACACGCAGCCGACATTATAGAACGGCCCGCGCGTGGCGTAGGCCATGGCCGACTTGGGGACGCGAAGCACCTCGGTTTGAGAGACCAGCTCGAAGAGCACGGCGGTGCGCGAGGCCTCGGGATAGGCCTGGATCATCGCCTGGTAGTCGTCCAGCAGTTCCTGAAAGAAACCTACCTCCAGCGGGAGGCGGACGAAGGCGCCGCTGAAGGACTTGCGACCACCGTAGGTGGCGAAGGGGTTCTGGATGGTGTTCAGCTGCTCGTAGGGGATCATGGTGGCCGTGTTGACCGTGGGCTGCAGCGCCAGAAGGGGCGCAAAGTGCTGCTCCGCGGCGGCGCGGGGCCCGTTGTAGAAGATGGCCGCCAGGATGATGTCCCCGCTGAAGCCGAAGAAGATCCCCTGGTCCTGCTGGGCCGGGCCCTCGTCCTCGAAGGTGTTGACGAAGGCCAGGATCTCCGGCAGTCGATGGGTCGGGTAGCTCAGCAAGCCCGCGTAGACCTCGTTGGGCTGGTCGTACGCCCGGAAGACGAACTCGGTGACGACGCCGAAGTTGTGGCCGGCGCCGCGCAGCGCCCAGAAGAGATCGGCGTTCTCCGTGTCCGATGCGCGTAGGATGCGTCCGTCGGCGAGGACCACCGTCGCCGCCAGGAGATTGTCAATCGTCAGCCCGTGGCGCCCCGTCAGCCACCCGTATCCGCCCCCGAGCGTCAGGCCTCCGACCCCGGTGTGATTCACCGTGCCCCCGACCGTCGCTAGGCCATGTACCGCCGCTGCCCGGTCCACATCTTCCCAGATGGTGCCTCCTTGCGCGGTAATGGTTTTGGCGGCGGGATCTACGACCACCTCTCGCATGCGCGCCAGACTGATCACCATCCCTCCCTCGCTCGCCGAGGCGCCACTGGTCGAATGGCCGCCGTTGTGCACCACCAACGGAATGTGATGCGCTGTCGCAAACCCCACCGCCAGCGACACCTCTTCTGCCGTCATGGGTAAGACAACCGCGGCCTGGAAGTATCGATTAGCAAAGGGGGGAGAGGGCGGCGGGGAATTCCGACGCGGCTTAGGGTTTGTTTCTTACCGCTCTCTTTTCGCAGGTGTCACTCCATCGTTTGATACTCTCCGCGTACCCGGGCGAGTCCGGTGTCAAGACGAGGGCATTCGTGCCGCTTAGGTGCTGGCGCAAGTCGTCCATATTCGGGGACTAGAATGGGCGCATAGAGTGGTGGACGATGGTCGTAGCCGTGGCAGGAATGTAGGGGCAGCTGTGCGGGAGAAAAACGTCTCGCAAAGGCCCGCGACCCTAAATACGTGAAATTTGTGGCCGAGCGGGGATCAACATACCGGAGCAGCAGAAGCCGATCCTTCCCTGAATCCTACCTAGCCTTGCGGTGTCTCCCCCCTGTCATTTCGGGTCCACTCTACTGCAAGCAGTCGCTGGGAGCTCTCCAACACGGGAGGACAGGGGGCCTACAAGCTTCCATTCGCAGCCGCCCATCCGTTAATGACAAGTGTCAGGTCTGCGGCGCTCCCGGCGTGGCCCGTCGGGCACGTTACATTTTGGCCTTAGAATTACTACCTTGTAGCGCTGACCTAGAAATGATAGGCCGAGCGGCTTTCTACGAACGGAGGTTGGGTTGGGAAGTATAACGATCTCATTGGCCTGTGGAGAATCAAGACACCATGAGGCATGTTCTGACTCTCGGGGTTACATGCGCTATTTCTTGAGATATTGATTGAACCAGGTGACCCCCTGACTGAAAGACTGTTCTTTGGCGAATCGGTGACGGGTCTTGTTCAGGTCACAGCGAACCGCAAAGCCATGCTCCACATCGGAGAAAATATTGATCTGGTAGGGGACATCCAGCTTGGCCAGGATCTTTTCGCTCTCGTGCCGCTTCTCAGGCGGAAAGAGATTGTCCCGGGCTGTAGATCGAAATGTGGACATTTTTGAGATTTAGAAACCGGCGGAAATAACCAAAACCAAGAAGACTGTGGAACGGAAATAGCTCACCACTAGCGGAAATGCTCAACGGTCCCTCGATGGCTTCCAACTCATCGGGCTCGATAAAGGTGGGATGGGCGACGAAGCCGACATCGAGCTGGCCCGGGTGCAGATACCGTACGACATACTTGCCTCCGTAACAGTAACCAACGCCGCCGATGCGCTGACATCCCAGTCTCTCCCGCATTTCCCGGAGAGTGGCCGTGACGATGGGATCGGTTTGCGGGGGGAGATGACCCTGCAGCCAGTCCATGACTTGGAAACTTGGCGAGTGATCCACGGGAACCGGATCCCCCTGAAAAAGGTCGGGCATCACCACGAAATACCCGTTGGCCGCGAACAGGTCGGCAATCAGCTTGGAGTTGACCAGTGCCAGGCCGAAGATGTCGGACAGGAATAGAATCGCATGGTGGGTGGACTTGTCCGGGGGGTAGGAGACGTACACCGGAACTGGACGAGGTCGAAAGGGGACAGGGCAGGGGTTGCTTAGCATGTCTTCAAGGGTCCAGTAGGCGTCTTCTGGAAGGGACAGGGACAGGGACAAGGACAGGGACTGAGTGCGACATACTGTCACCAAACTTAGTGAGCTCGCCTTTGGTCTCGCCGTCGTGCAGTGAGCCACCAATGCAACACTGGGAAGGTGGGAGGGAGGTCATGGTTGGCTCGAGTCACAAAAGATCTAGTAGAGTCGCCAGGAAAATCGGCATTTACGATGAACGGAAGAGAAGGAAGACAGCCCAGGGGGATCCTTTATCAGGGCTACATAGTGGTTACATAATAGGCCTCCAGTTGGCGGTTACAGCAACCCGAAGGCATGTGTCTAGATGGCAAATGGAGTTCCATGATTTCAAACGAGCGAGGCGTGTCCTTGCCCGTGACTTCAATGTTACACGGCCATCCAGCATCAAACCCTTCCCCAGGTCGCAGAAAACCTAATTGGCATGAGGAGCATCGACAAGAGCATTCACCACTGGCTGATAGCCGTACAGAGGGGTTAATGCTCGATGCCAACACCACATTGGCGCACAGACAAATGCAACCCAGCGCAGCAGAGGCCCCATCGGCGACCAGAGTCGTCCCGTGTGCAGCTGCGCAAAGAGACTGGAGAACGAGAACACGTAACGGGCTCTAGCCTCCCGGCGGTGACGATACTCCTCCAGCCGCTCGCGCAGCATCTGTGGACTGGGGGATTGGCTGCCAAAATATGCATGCAGCGCGTTGGCCAATTCGCCTGCATCCTCGATGGCTTGGCAGGCGCCCTGTGCAAGTGATTGGGATGGTAGGTTAGCCCGGAATGCCCCGAGGAGAGATGAAGTCCAAGTAATACATCCAATCGGGAGGTGAGGAACGTACCTGACCGATGAAAGATGTCATGGAATGAGCCGCTTCCGAAATCTTAGGTTAGTACCAGATGTTGGGTCCAGATAGGGGAGTCCATGGAACCATACAGTCACCCACTAGAGCTACCCGTCCACAGGCCATCGCAGGAAATGTCGTCTCCTCGAAGACATCACTGGCTGTCACCCGCTCGGCCAGATTCACCACTGCGGTTGGGGACGATGGGTCAGAATCTTCGCCAGCACCATAAATCCACACCACCGTAGAGCAGCACACGTACCATCACGAACCCGATGATACTCCCCAAAAGGATGAAAGCGGTCTCCATAAACGTCATTGATGATGGCCTGAGTAGCATTTTTCCAACTGGATCGCGTTGGATTCTTCAGTTCAGAAGACTAATATCGGATGGATCCATGAATCAGTGGTGCGGTAGGGTTTCCCTGAGGGGGGGGGGGGGGGGGAACGGATGTACTGTACCTTCACTCCGACAAACCATTGTCGGTTGTCTATGCATGGCCAGGAGGTCAAGATCGAGTCATCGTAGAAGACCCAAGTAGCCACCCCCAAATCAGCCGGTCCCAGATGCTGCAAGGGATGGGTGTAGCCGGTCATGTGGGTACGCCCGGTGAAGCGGATGGTGTTGGCCCCCTCCAGCCCTTGCGTCGCAGCCAGAATGCGACGGGTGGCTGATCGAATACCATCCGCACCCACGACGATTTGTCCTGCCAGCTGGCGGCCATCCGCGAGTCGCACCTGAACGCTGGGTGCGGTGGGCACATCCTCGATATCAACCACCTCGGCATCGAGGAGGACATGCTCCGGCCCCGCCCCCTGGTACAGCGCCTGGTGCATGGAATGCCGTTCAATCGAGTAGACGCTGTAGCCGAACTTCTCCTGCACCCAGTCGTAATCCACCAGGCTCCACTGCGTGCTGTTGCGGAAGATTTGGATCTTGCGCAGCGGCTGCCCTTTGCGGCGGATGAAGTCCAAGTGGCCCAACTGCTCCAGGATGCGCAGGCAGTTGGGCGCCAGCGAGATTCCTGCGCCCACGGGCGTAATTTCAGCACTGCGCTCCAGGACCTTGTATGTGATTCCGAGCTTTTTACAGATGCCAGCCAGAGTCAGGCCGCCGATTCCTCCGCCGACAATGAGGACATCGACCTTCGTTGTTGCAGAAGCTTGTTCCATGATAGGGAGGGGGGAAGGTCAGTCGAGACAAGAAAATGCTCCTGGATGTTGGTTGCTTGAGAGAAAGTGAGCGAGAGGTGACAACTCTATGTATGGATCTATACCCCTACGGATGAGTGCTCGGGACACACTCATGATCGTCATGCCCAGTTTGTCCCTTCCCGATACATTCAGCGATGTGGGGGATTAGCATCCCCGTGAGGTTGTATGAAGGAGAGTCTATGCAGATGGCAGCCATGGGTCGGAGGGGGTACTCTCCCCCGTCTTTGTCGAGCCCTCGGGACGCAATCTAGACCTCGCGTTGCATCTTCCTCCCTTTCTAGGGCTCGAAATCTGTTCCCGTTCGTCTCCGGCGATACGAAAAGTAAGTGGGAAGAAGGGACGGTCTGGACAACACTTCGATGCCTACTACACATAGCACCCGTGGATGTAGATCTTCCGGATGGCGTCGGAACTATTCGCAGTGCATTGTGGCATTTGGGCTAAGGGAGCTTTTGGAAGGGAAAGCGAAGCAAAAAATCAAAGAATTCTCGCATAGCCCCCAATTGCGGGGCCGAAAAAGAAGAAGGGTAAAGATTAACACTTTCAAAATCCACACAATAAAAGACAAAACCCACAGCTGCAGAGAGCATGTGTACCCGCCGGGACTTTACTCCGCCACCTTCGGACTAATAGCAATAGACGCATCGCCCTCAAGCCAGGGACTTCCCACTTTGCTAAAGTCCAGAGCAGTCAGGTCCGTCGGTGGGCCCTCCTTGCCCCAAAACAAATCATACCGGCGCACCAGCGTTGCAAGGAGACCCTGGGCGATGATCCCGGCCAGCGCCTCCCCGGGGCAGCGATGGCAGCCGGCGCCGAACTGCAGAAATGCCGCCTCGCGGGGGTTGTTCAGGTTCTGCATCCGATCGTCCGGCTGCAGCCACCGCTCGGGGATCCATTCCTGTGGGGTGTGGAAGATCTCCGGGTCATGATGGGTCAGGTAGGGCGAGATGGAGACAATCCAATTCGGGGGAACGAGGTACTTGCCTCCCTCCAGCTCGACCGCACGGTGGGTCGTGCGAAACATATGCACGCCTGAATAATGCCGGCCCGTTTCTTTGATCCCGGCCAGTAGCTCGGGGCATTTTCGCGCGTCCGGATGCGTGGCCAGGGACTGTCGTAGCTGGGCCAAATAGTCAGGGTTGCGTAGTAACTGCATGAAAATGATCCACCTCAAAACGTTTAGCGACGATGCCGTGTGTAGGTCTGGACGCTGGCATGGGGATCATGGACGACAACTGACCTCAAGAATGGTCCACGAGATGCTGGCCACCGTGCTGGTGTGGGCTGCAAACATCAACACCGTATGATGGGAAGGGAGATATCCCTCCAGATGCGCGGTGCGGGGATCCTCCAGGGTGAAGGAGATGTAGTCGAGGGAATCCCTCCAGATCTCCAGATTCCGGCGCCGATCGGCAACCTGCTGCTCGAAGATTTGAGCAAAGCGATCCCGATTCTGCTCCAGCCGGCGCGCCGCAGGGTGGGGAATCCATTCGGGCAGCAGCAGATTGAAGGGGTGCCCGATGTCTGCCTCCATGTGGTGTAGGATCTCGTAGAGCTCGTCCAGATGATGGTCGTAGAAGTCCTGACCCATCAAGCACCGGACAATCACCCGGTGCACAAACCGGGAGGTTTCCTCGAATACTGGGACGGCACCGCGCTGGCTCCAGCCCTGAAGCGCCTTCCCGGCCTCCTCTTCGATCAGCTGGAAGTAATGCTCCAACGCTGCCTTGCGATTCACCCCGCGGTTGAGAGAGTTCACGAGCGTTCGGAGGTGGTCAAAGTACCCCGGCTTGGCGATCTTACGGAGAAACAGACCCTGATATACCGAGACACGCCAAATCAGCTGCATGCATGTGGTGGGGAGCGGGGGGTAGTGCTGGAACGAGGCCTACAATTCCACCCCCAAATGACCAGGTGTCCTCCTTGACATCGGTATACATGCGATTGAGCTTGACCCCGCGCAGGTAGACCAGATTCGCAACCAGTAGCTTGATTTGGAAGATCGATCCACATTTCTGCGTGGCCTTCTGTACGAAGCTCACAGGATCGGCAAGGAAGGCAGCGGCGTCCCCGATGCGAGGCACGCCGAAATTCGGGGCAGGCGGCGCTCTCTTTGTGCTCTCTGTCGGCCAGAACAGGCACACGAGGCACACCACTAGGGCCCCGATCACAACCGAGGAGTAGGCGAGCTGCTGCTCCAGAAAGAACAGGGGGGATAGCAGGTGAGAGGCGATCATGCTGGCTTCCAGGGGAGTCGGACGAGGGCGATTCTAGGTGAGTAGAGCCACATGAGAGAGTAGCCGGTGCGTGATCCTTTATCAACCACGCAGCTGCTGTGATCGAATCATCTACTCAGTGGAGGGGCGAAACATGGGCCTGTACACCGATATGCCACACCAAAGACACCCAGAGTTTGGTTTCCTGGGTTTGAGGAACTAGAGGCGGTGGTCCGAAACTGGAAATGGGATGTGTTCAGGGTCTTGTCCCAGAGGTCGTTGTCGTTGAGGTCACATCCTCTTCTCCGTTCTCGTCATTGACTTATCTTTCCTGGACGTCGGTAGAAGAGGCACCCCGAAGTCGTAAGCGGCCCATCATGGATCTAGAACCTCTTGCCCCCAGTGAGACATTATCTGCGGATTTGATGTCATTGATATTCGATATCTTGGAATCACGGATGACTGCGCCATATTCCAAACATGGACTTCGGCAGAGCCACTGCAGGCAGACCAGCCCCTTTCAGACGGCCCGACACATGAATGCGATTGCTACGTTGAGTCAATTAGGTAACCCTTTCAACTGTCATGGTCACAGTTTGGATGAGTTTTCGTGGTACCTTGGTGTCGTGCCTGTCCACCGCAATCGGGTAAGAATAGACCGAGCAACAACCTGCGAGAACCTCGAGAGCTGGGATGCATAGTGGAGCCTGACGTAGCATAGACACCCAGACAAAACAGAGAAATTGCAGCATGGGTGCACTCAGAAGTGGGATCACATATGTTGAAACCTCTCTGGAGAAAGATATAAATTGGAAGACAGTTGATGACCCTCGGACCGACGACACTTGCTTGGAATTCGTTGCATCATCCACCCTTGCTAGCTGCCATTCACCATGGCGACGCTTACTACGAAGCAATTGCGAGGCTCGGAAGACTCGAGGACAGCGAGTGAATATGTTTCGCCGGTGTTTTCCACCCCGCAGTCCCCCTCTCCAGCTTCTTCACTGGATGGACCCAATCTCCCCGCGGTCATCGGCTATGCGTGTCGCGTAGCTGGGGCGGATCGCCCGAGCAAACTCTGGGAAAACATCATCGAACAGAAGGATGTGAGACGCAAAATTCCCGGGGATCGATTTAACGTAGACACCTTTTACCACCCGGATGGAACACACAAGGGAGCAGTACGCCTCCTACCGTCTCCCCTCCCTTGAGCTGACCAAGCGGTGCTAACTCACGGGCCCTCCAGACCAATGCAAAACATGGCTACTTTCTGGATCAGGATCTGGGGGCATTTGACCGCACTTTCTTCCGGATTTCGGGGAAGGAAGCGGAAGCAATGGATCCCCAGCAGCGCCTGCTTCTGGAGGTAGTGTTTGAGGCATTAGAAGACGCCGGAATCTCTTTGGAGGAGATTAACGGCTCACGCACCTCCGTCTTGTGCGGTGCCTTTACCAACGATTACAATGCCATGTTGACCAAGGATCTGGAATACTATCCCAAATACACCGTGACGGGAACGGGGAACGCCATTCTCGCGAACCGGATATCTTATGCCTTCAACCTGAAGGGGATGAGTCTGACAATTGATACCGCGTGCTCGTCGTCGCTCGTGGGGTTTCACCTGGGCGCACAAGCCATCCTTAACGGCGAATGCGAAATGGCGATTATTGTCGGCTCCGCGCTGCACTTTGACCCGAACATCTTCATCACCATGACCGACCTGGGAATGCTGTCCCAGGAAGGACGCTGCCGGGCGTTCGACGCCGGGGGCAAAGGATACGCCCGGGGAGAAGGGATCTGCGCCGTCATCCTGCGAGGCCAGATGCAGGCCGAGATGCACGGCGACCACATCCGCGCGCTGGTCCGAGCCACCGGATCTAACCATGATGGCATGACGCAGGGAATCACCCTACCGTCCTCTGAGGCTCAGGAAGCCCTAATTCGGACAACCTATCAGTCTTGTGGTCTCGATCCCGCCGACACCCAGTATGTCGAGGCCCACGGAACGGGCACGGCGCGCGGGGATCCGTTGGAGATGCGCGCCATCGGCGCCTGTTTCTCGTCTCCACGACGGTCTGATCCTTTATACGTAGGCTCGGTTAAGAGCAATATCGGCCACGCGGAGGGGGCGTCCGGGCTGGCGGGATTGATCAAGGCCAGCATGGCCCTAGAGACAGGACAGATCCCCCCTAACATGCATTTCAAGCACCCAAACCCGGAGATCGCCTTTGCCGATTGGCAGATTGAAGTGCCCACGCGGTTAATCGACTTTCCCAGCAATGCCCAGGGCGCCCGACGAGTTAGCATCAACTCCTTCGGCTACGGGGGCTCTAACGCCCATGTCATCCTCGAGTCCTACGACCAACTGCCCAATGTCCAGCCCACCGACCCTGGGGCCCATCGGCCATACTTGGTGCCTTTGACCTCGCATACGGAGAAGGCAGGCAAGCTGATGGTAGAGAAACTCGGAGCCTATCTCGACGACAAGCCGAGCACCCGCGTCGTGGATCTGGCGCACAGTCTGACCACTCGCCGCACGCTGCATGACGAGCGGTCCTTTGCTGTGGGCGCGAGCGCGGCCGACATTCGGACCCAGCTATCGGAGGGTCTTCCGGCCTGGACCAAAGTCCGCCGGGAGCCCCTGCGATTGGGGTTTGTCTTCACAGGTCAAGGAGCCCAGTGGCATGCTATGGGCCGTCAACTTCTGGAACAGTGCCCATTCTTCCGCCACACTCTGGAGAGGGCCGATCGCGTCCTCGCCACCCTCCCTGATAAGCC